CTAGTACGTTGCTCACGCTTGACCAAATCTGTGTTCACGAGAGCCTGTAGAAAAGCGCTTTAGTTTTATCAGGAAGGGAGCTGACCCTGAAGCCTTTATGCCCCTGCAGCAAGCGGCGCCCTCACCCTAGACGCCTATGGCATTGACGGCACGGCATGAGAAGAGATACACCTGAGGGGTAATTTAAGCCTTGCAAAGTTCCTACACGTTCGATTCGGGTGCTTTATCAAGCTACGTATATTTTCTTGTGCTCTGATCTGTAGTCTCCCAATGAGGAGTGATACATCTACTTGGATGCAAAGAGACCAGCAAATCTAAAGAGAAGACAGGCCTAAACAGCCACACCGAAACAGCCAGAGAGGAGAGGAATTCCATGCCTAAGGCTTAGCCTTGCCAGTACCGCTCGTCGAGGGCTGCAACAGTGCTGTTTCCATCATTCGACGAGCAAGTTGGCTTCATTAGCGCCTACCCTCATCAAGCCCTTGTTCCCTGTGAACACTACAATCACCCGCTACGGACTCTGTTGCTCGCAGCCCAAAGAAACAATAAGTAACAAGCTCACAACTTAAGATCCAATATAAGCAGCCTTTGACATACGTATCCCACGCCTGGAAATGTAGATCTCAGTCTTTCATCCCTACTATTCTTCCTGCGCTGAGCTCCTTCCATTTAGCCCGCTGGGCAGTTTTCTGGGATCACGGCTGCACAAACGCTAGGCGATTTGCTAGGTGCAAAGCGGATAATCTTTTAAGGAAGATGTAAGGAAGGGAAGCGGCTGGCTCTCTCTTACCCAAGCCTCATAGGGTGGACCCGTATACGATGTTACCTCCGTGTGGATCATGCCTACAGAAATGTTTACTGCTACGTAGTTTGTCTAAATCGTTTCTGCTGTCAGGCACTCAATTTATGCCTTTTCTTTCCTACATAATGCATATTATTTATAGACATAGCTGCTGTGGCACGGTGCGGTTCGCCGAACTCCCGCAATTGCTGCTGCAGCTACGCGACAACGGCTGCTAGCTAATGGGATTTCCAAGAAATACTCCAACCAAGTAAGCTTAGAGCTCACTTGGGTTTTTGAGACTCGTACAAGTAGTTCTCAAAAAAGAGGAAGGGCACCAGCTGCCGCCTTCTGTTCGTGCTCTAGTAACAGGCCCCGTAAAGTTTTATGACATTTTATCCGGGAAAAAAAAGGAACTAGCCCAATGTTTTCCCGCGAGGCTATATGCTGCATCACAGACACATCCTGGGGATGCAGAGGCAGCCGTAGGGGTAGCTGCAGAGGCTGCTGAGCAGTGAGCCCCACAGAACATCAGACGCCACAGCAGCGTCTTGCACCAGTATCAAAATAGCAGCGCAAGCATGCATGCAGATAAGCGACTGGTGGATCGGCTGCGGAATGAGTGGTCATGAGTCAAGGTTCCCGAAATTTCGCATTTGGAGCTGCTCACGATCGAGTCGATAAAAACCTGCAGAACTGCCTTACCTCTGCGGGAAGTGGGAGGGCGGACAGAGAATTCCGCAGCTAGGGACTCTGTCGGCGTTGCGGCTGGAGCAGTAATGACAGCGGCATCGATGGAGGGCCGCCACTGGAGTTGATTGTGCTAGATGTGATTTATGCTTTCCCGAACTTCTTGAATATCCTGCTGTACCCTTAGTAGCGCAAGCCAGAGATCCTACAAGTATTGTAAGTAAAGTTTCTCGTGCTAACAAGCAAGTTCAGCAACTGCTTCATACGATTTACGCACCGCAATAATTTTCAGCAGAGATGGATGCACAGTCCATGCTAGAGTACTGTCTAGTATGTTTCTTTGTGAATGAACCATCATTTTGCTCCATCGAACGCGGGGCCGTGCGCCATTCTCTCGCAACTGCATGAAGCCAAGCTTCTCTCTCCAAGGAAAAACTTTGAAATGATTCCTGCAAAACCTATTTTGGCTCTCTTCCATCGGTAATAGCCACTGCTCCGCCAGCATTACACTGAGAATACCCAAACCCTGCTGCTGTGGGCGAAAACCTTTGCTCTGCCGCATTACGCAGCAAACTTAGATCAACACTCTATATCTACTAGTTTGACACGGTGGCTCTGGTGCTGCTGTTACAGCCGCGCTTGTTCCAGCGCTTTTGAAACCATCATGCCATGGCTGATTTTAGCACGCCCGCTGATACTATAGACTGTTAGAGGTACTGCTGTTGCTTACTGCCGTAGTCCCATCTCGACTATTTTCTAAAAAGATGTCTGAGCTTCATTTACTTGATGTTTGGAGAAGCTGCACTTAATAACACCTGGAGGGACAAGAGTAAAGTCCACACTGGCAAGAGCTGGGACAGGAGTGGTGCCCCTGACGTGGGGTTTCTGCACTGACAATTAGTACCTGTTCCCTTAAGATAGGGTGTCCTCGAAATGGGATTTCGTTGCAGAATCCTACACGAGACTTTTGGGTGGTTTGGTCGATTTCTGGTGACATATTTCACAGAAAATGTTGGCCCCTCCATAATATCACTTTCAGCATACTAGATCACCTTGAGATTGTCCGCTAAGAAAAGGACGTTTATGAGTGTCGATTTTGCCCTTAAGATAGTATTCGCAGGAGCGGCAGTGCACTGGCAGAAGCAGCTTATTGGATCACCCTCAGAATAGTAAAACCTTCGTCTCCAGCCTGCCTACCACATGTAATTTTGGCCGCACGTTGAACATATTTCCATTGGCGCTACTGGGAATCAATTTTCAGCTGAATCAAGTTTCGCTGCTTTCAGGCATTTCATGAAAAAGTTCGGCTCCATAAAGGTGACCAAGGCTTTCCACCTCGAGCTTTGCGAACCCAACTGGTTTCTTTGACAAACATTCGTGTGATGGCAGAATCTTAAAAGCCGTACCTGCACTACTACAGATGCCCTGAGGAAATTGTCTTACCCATTTTCTTTTCGACTGCAGCACATTTTCTGTGCTGTTACAATGATGATTGCTACTCCTACAGGTACCAAAAAGTTCAGTTGATAAAGTACTTTTATGGGTTTATCAATCAGTACAATATCACTGGATATTTTCCGTGCTTCTAATGTTTTTTGGATTTACAGTAGGAGGTACTTTTCGCAGTCATGAAGCATCCTGTCAGGGCATGAAACAATAACACATATGGGCATTGTGTTTTTGGCCACTATTCCGGTAGCTGCTAGGGCCAGAATGTACCAATATGATTTGGTTTCTACCCAAGTAAATTGTTGCTGGTCTGCCATTTTGCACTGCAACGCCTTTTTCTTTTCCAGGAACGGGGAAGCTACTAGCAGCGCAGGAGAAACATGGAACAAGGGAAAATACCACATTGATTTGGACTAGCTGTGTGGGAGTGTGAGGGAAACCGAATGCGCCCCAAAACTTTGCAACGCATCATCCGATTCGGGTCATGGTAGTGCCCACCCAGTGAAGTGGTCACCTTTTCGCACTATTCTGGCCAGCCATATTCTCCCTCCCCATGTACTGCTCTTTTCTTTGGGCAGCCTCTCGTGCTCTAGGAAATAGATACGACTGTTCTTCTATTTATGCAGTGCATTATTTAGACGGTGTTCAGGCTGTAGCTTTTTCTGTTCAATCTCATGTCAACGCAGAACGACTTGCTCTGTTCTTGCCGGTACCTTTACTTTTGTTGCATAATTCTGTATCGCTGTGGCTGCACCATCTGCCATAGTAAAATCTTCCCCCGTTGTGTGAAGCAGACCATTGTGCAAACGTGTTTTTTGCGGACCGAGACGATTCTTGCTTCCAGAACGCAGCACCGTAGGGGTGGTTTTGTCATTGGATTGCCTGCTGGATGGTAGGAAAAACTAGCACGGCCAACCACGTAGGGCTATGCCAATTGAATAGTTTTAATAATCAGCAAAGCAGGGAATAGCTGTACTTACGGAGCAACCATGGGTAAGCATTGGCTTTTTGTCATTATCGCAAAGACAAAATCAAATGCATGATAAGCGATTTTGGGTGGTTTGGAAGAGAGATCAACTCACGCAACCAAGCAGCACCACTGGCTGTAGCTACTGCATCTGTCGCAGAAAAACCTGAGGCATGAAGGTGTCCAATATAGTTTAAAGGGAAATCTTAAAAGCGGCAAGACTGAGGAAGGTCGTTCCATGCCTGTATTTAAGCAACTTCGGACTCTACAGCCCCATAAGTAGTAGACGCAGCTAAGCTGCATGAGAAAAGTAATCAAGTCAGCGACAACAGAGAGCTACCAATTATTGAAATCCTCCTAGAGACAACGAGCACTGTTAGTACACATATTCAGCATAAATAATAAGCGAATAGAGGATTATTTTGTCTGCCATGATGCCATTGTGTTCACCACGGACGAAGATGCATTCGTAGTGGCGTCAAATGATAGTATGATGGATGGGCTAGATGCAGTGGCTGCTGATGCGTACGACATACCCAATCGCGGCAGACGCGCATATTCGCGATTTGCAGTACCGCTGAGCTCTGGTGAGCATTCCTGGAGCTTTTCAGGCTTGAGGATTGACCCGATATCATTTTGCGTGTTGTTGCAAGCTTTTTTCTAGATATTGAATTTATCGAAACACTCAGATTTAGGTGATGAGGAGGGCAAATTTGGGGCGCACTAGGGCTGCTGTGATTGGTTAGACACGACAGCCCAGGAGGTGTAAAAACACAGAAAATAGAGGTTGAGGGGCTGAACAAATAACCGTGCAACGGTAGCAGGAGCTGTAACCGTCATAGTTTGCACAGGTCACCTCCATGCAAGGCGCACACTTGTGGAAAAAAGAAGAGACCACTGTAAACCATGGGCTTCCTTGAGGTGTGCACATGCCACGAATTCTCCACGCTATGCAGACGAACTACCTAGCCAAATGCGTTACGTGTATAGTAGCACAACGCTTGTGTATACAAGCCTCGCGTAGACACTTTCCCACTTTGATTGAGTTTCTAGTTGTTGGTCCATGATTTCCATATAGTTCCTGGAGCTACACGCTTGCTGTACGTTCGCCGTCTAGCCCGTCTTACCCTCATCTCCATTTCTCTTTCTTCCGTGCTGCTGCATTTTAGGAGCTGTTTCGGTCGCTGCTTCTTGTGCTTTTTCAGTGAGAATCCGTTTATTTGTTTCTGACGCCGATATTGCGTTTGATAGTGATTTTTGGCAGACAGTGTGTGCAGCAGTGTCACTATCGTTGCTGACACCACTGCTGCTACTTGTGTCACTGCTGTTTGACCTTGAAGTTCTGCTCTGTTTACTATCGCTACTGCTCTTTTCGCTACTCCCACTAAAACTTCTTCCGCTGCTGCTGCGGCTTTCGTCGCTACTTACTTGGCTAGCGTTGATGCTGCTGCTCTCTTTACTGTCGTTCAAAGAGTCTGAACGTTTCCAGGGCTGCTTCTGCCTGGTTAGCACTCTGGTAACTGCCTTGGCCGTGGCTGCTGCTCCAGCGGCTGCTACGCCTTCTGCACTTTGCGCTACTGGAGTATTTTTTTCACCGTCAGTGTCGTGATGCTGCAACCATTTGTTTAACTGGTGATGCAGTGTCTTTACCTCTTTCTGCACCAGATCAAGGTGATGTTTTTGATGCTGTTCTTGCTGCTGTACATGCTGGTACTGCTGCCACCAGTGGCTCTGCTCTTGTAGGCTCCATTTGTGGTGGCATTGTTCCCATTCATACTGATACTCTTGTTTCTTTTTTTTGCTGTTTCGGCTGTAGCGGCAGACTGTGTCAATATCTTGGAGTAACTCTCGTACAGCAGCGGCTGCACAAGTGGACATTGGGGGCTCCTGGAGCTGCATCATAGCGTTATGTAGGGAGCAAATGCTGCGTATACTCTGCAGAATCACAAGTAACAAGCAACGGAACGCATATAGTGGCATTCGGGCGTCAATAAACTCTACAGCGTAGCAGACAATGAGAACAAAGTCGAGGGCTCAGTAGCAACAAGAACATTGCAATACTGCTGAGGCAGTGGTCGCAACAACTGAATATGTACTCGCATGCTCAAAAGTGAGCAATTCGTTAATGTATGGACCTGCAACAAATCGGTCCACGCCTCTGATGTAGCTTCAGTGTAGAGAAGTGGCCGCCTGTCTCTAGATTGTAAGCTCCTGCCAGGTATTGCTGCAGCAACAGCGACAGCGGCAGCGGCTGCGGCGCTGCTTTTGTGCTGCAGCTGTATCAAGGCTTCGCGACACTGTATCAGCTGGACTTGCAACTTATCTTCCCCCGTCCTTGTGGGAACAAAGAATGGCTGCTGCAGTTCCTGCTGTTGTTGAAGCATTATCGCGTTGGCATGCAGCAGGATGGATGCCACGTCCATCTTTCTTGCTGCTGTTACCAAGCTGTTGATCTCATGTAGTTCCGTTTCAGTCATTCTTGTTCTTTTTCCTGCTGTCTCTGCGACTGCCACTGGTGCTGTTGCAGCGGTTGCTGTTTGAGTTTGTGTGGCTGATGCCAATGTCGCGTATGTCTTTAAACATAGTGCGTTATTTTTAGTGCTGAAACATTGTGCGCACTAGAATTGTTCGCAGCAAACTTTGTAATTTCCACGGCTGTTGTGGTGCTGCTTGCTGCTGCCGACCAAAGTCTACAGCAATGACCCACACAGTCGAATAGAGTTGGCAATGCCTTTCTGAATGTCCAATTGAAATATATCAGCATCAAGCCTCTCATATTTATTTGAATCCATAGTGCTTACGTGTGTGCCTATTGCACTATTACTGTTTTCCCGCTGAAGTCCTTGAGTTGCTGCGCCTACATCACTCTGGTGGCTGCAGCTGCGGCAACCAGCTACATCAGCTGCGGTGGCCTTTGCAACAGCAAGCAGAGGGCAAACAGCTACACTACTCGCAGTCTCATTTATAAATCCTTTTGCGGCACACAGTCCCACTTCATCCGCGGAACCTCCGATCCTCAAAAGCATCAAAGGGGAATGAATCGGCGTTTATCTGGTACTGCTAAGGAGGTGTGTTATGCGAAGATCTGCTCATAAACCATGAATTTCCACAATATTTTGCAAAGCTTCAAGGATCATCTATGCTTGATCTACACTTTTCGCCCAGACCACGGTCAATGGTATAACTGCTTTCAGCTCTAACAGAACACCTGCAGATCAAGTGTTATTGCATTGTGCGAAGCTTTCTGAGGAAGAGTTCAAATTCTTCTTTATAATGAAACAGAAAAAGCTATCGATACTCCGGCTTTATCCGTCTAACCATTTCTTGCAGTGGAGCTGGCGTGGGCACACACAGATGGTTCACCGCAGGGAGAAGTGCTATGCAGTGGTTAATCCTGCTATTGGCCAGTGCTTTTTGCATGACTAGAGTTTAAATGCTACGCCTCTTAAGTGTTTGCTTACCAAGTCTCAATTTGCATGTGCATATGATGTAACTACTTGGTGGATCCACGATTTGTCTGTGCTTGCACATTCTTTCTTGCAGATCAGTGTTATATTTGCCCTGTAAGGCCCTATGAACTTTGTGCCGATAAGCAAATCTACTATGTACGGATATTCTGTTTTGCACAAAACTCTCAGAGTGTTCAGCTGCTTGCACCGTGTTTGTCCTTGCCCCTTGTAGGCTAGAGATCCTGTGGCTTCAGGACACTCCAAGAGTAAAAGTTCTTGGATTCTCCAAGACAACACTGTGCCTGAAAGCTGTGGTACAGATTTTGCTGAGAGACTTCTCTGGGAATTGTAGAAGCAGCGATAAAACCCTGCTACAAGCTTACAGTACATAGAAAACTGTTAGTACTCGTTCCTCTGATTTGAATACATGCAATATGCTGATCTTTCGAGAGATAAATTTCCACCAAAGTCAAGCTGCAGAAATGCACAGACAATTTGAGGAGGATTCGATGATATTCTAGAATATGAAGGACGTGTTGCTATGGCTTGCTGTTTGGTAGATTTATAGGTCGAAGTGCCGCAGGTCTGAGAAAATCTTCTACAGACCTCGAGTAGAGCTCACATCACCGCCTGAAAATCCCCTCGAGCCCACCGATATATCAGTGCTCTGCTGCTTGCTGTTAGCATAATTTGAAGTGTAGACCGGTAGTAGCAGACTACTGGTAAGGGGAAACCTGGGCGGTCCGACAGCCCGCTTCCCCAACAAACACATTGAGGAATCAAGGCACAGTCCCTGACGTGTTCATGTAAGAAAAATGTCAAAAACGTTCAAGGATTAAAAGAGTATAGACAGGCATGAGCACGAATTACAATCAAGCGCATTGGGTGGCTTGCACTAGATTCAACCGTGCACGGCAAATCTTGAAAGCAAAACCCAGGATGACTGGAAAATGTCTTGATGCACTCTCTCATACACAAAGCAATACAGCGGGTATGTGGGCACCTTTTCGTAAAACCGCGAAGTACCTGGCACAGCTGAGTAATCATAACACATGCGCAGGGCTTCCTAGGCAAAGCACACACAGATGGCTTTTTTGTAACCAACCATATGTACGCATGTGTGCTTGTTGCTGTATGTATATATGCCTCTCTCTTTCTCCAGATTTCATACTAAGGATAATGTGAGCCCCGTGCCATTTCTATTCCCTTTGGGGTAAGTAACACCACAAGAGGCAAGCTTGTTTCCGAAAAACACTAAACGAATAGCATGGCTCCCAATCGCCAGACGGTATATATATTATGCACTTGATACGGAGGAGGAAGCCTTCTTCGCTGATTTCTTCGTTCTCCCGAATTCGTGAGTTAGCTGGCAAGCTGATGCGAACCAGACTATTCAAAGCAGGTTCGCGCACCGTGTAGAGCATATTCACGTGAGAATGTACCCAGTAACGAGCACAAGAATCTGCAAATGCAGTGCCCATTCACCCCAGCCTGACGAAGAACCCCGCAGCCTAGTTTTAAAGGAGAGCTATAATATTTTTCAGAGATAGATATCCACCCCCCTGTTCTTCATCCTACAGAGTGTCCAGCACAATGGAAGAAAAGACCTCATGGATAGAAGTAGCTACAGCCTTTGCGCAGTAAAGCTATTCGTACACTTTGAATTCGCTGAGGCAGGCATACTATATACTCTTATATTGCGGCACCAGCCCTTCCAAGCAGCAAACGGACACTAATCATCAAAGTAGCTTTCTTCCAAATTGTATTCACTCCGATGCTGACTGAATAATATGGTTTGACTACACCTAGTTTGTCTTAGCCAAACAATAGACGGACTAGAGCTTTTGCAGACGCTGTGAAGGCCCACACAAACGATCTCTACTTTCCCTGAACTGGTTATTCTCAAGGAAAAGCATAACACGAGGGCCCTATCGGGATTTTGGCGTCAACTGACATCTTCTCATCATTCACATACGCCTGTATGTTGGCTTACATACTACGTAGCGTCGTACTGTGTACCGGAGCAGTCTTCAAGGAAGTCCCTTTCTGCAGCCATGCAACTGGTGGCTCCCTGCCATCGTAGTGAATGCGCGTCTCATTACTCTATTGCCATGCTTCTATTCTCTTTCAACCTTCACTGCTCTACTTTATCGACTGTCTAGCACTACCTGGCGGATATGACTGTTTCGCTAGTCTAAGATCCTTGACACACCTGCACTCCCTTGCAGCTTACCCTCGGAGGGTTGCCGTTTGGCCTCCCTTGAGCGCCCAGCTGCGGCCTCTGCCCCCCTCTGCGTCCGTCAACAGGACGTAAGTCGTGAGGAATAGAATCTGCATAACTATTGCTGCTTTAACTGCTACTGGTGCTCATTTTCTCGAAGGCGATGGAAGCATCACCGCTGCTGATAGCACAGCAAGTTTCCAAGCATTTGGTGCTACACGTAAAATGTGCAGTGCAACAAGCTTTGCTAAAATATCGAAGCATGGACGGTATGGCACAAAGGAAAGCTTAGGCCCTAGAGACCGGCGCTTCTTAGCTCCAGGCCAGCCTGCAAGCATACAGCTTGTAGTGCATTAGTGCACTTTACAGCGCCACAGCCAGCTCTCCGTGTCTCTGTCTTTAAAACAACGGACTGGCCGCGGCCTTCGAATGAGAGTGCTCTTTACTTATAGCACTCAAAGAGCGCCTCTTGTGTTATCTGCTTGGCCATTTGGGCTACGCGCTCAGCAACAGACAAGTAATGCTGGCGTTGGCCGGTCTCCCTGTCCGCACTTCCGTCAGCTTCTTGATTTGTAAACCCTTTGTAAGCCTGGGCATCTTTCCTTAACTTACGCGAGTGCTTGAGTCCTTCATGGCCATACGGCTCCCTAGTCTGCCTCTCCACTGACCCCAATGAGCCGTCCTCTGCTGCCCGAGATCGTGCTGTATTCCTACCGATGCTGCTCCTGCTGCTGTGCCTGCTACTGGAGCATCGGCCATGTCGTCGCCATCTCCAAGCCGAGCTGGGTCGTGCTGATGCCTCCCACCCCTGCACGGGCTGCAGAACGCGAGGGTAGGCTGCTGCAGCTCGGCTTCTGGGTGATTTCCTGTGCTGCTGTAGCCGGAAAATGGTGCCGAGCTGTTGGATCCACTTCTGTGAGCCTTCTCCAATATCGTGACTCCCCGCCACACAACGCCAGAGTTCATCCTGAGAGCTCTGCTGCTGCGTCTGCGGCTGCTGCTGCCGGCACTCCAGCCGACGCCGTGGTGCAGCTGCAAACTTGCTTTTGTCTTTCTTTCCATGCATACTACCAGCATTCGGGCTGCTTAGAGCCTTCACAATGCCAGCACTGTCCTCGCTAAGACAGCATTGTTTCCCGGAAAATTTTGATTCAACGCGAGATGTACACAGGCGCCTCTCTAAGCGCAGCCGATGATTTGGTAATGTGGACTTTGGCGAGGCGTAAGGTGGCCTTTGCTGCTGTTGCTCTTGTTTGTCTCGCTGGTGCTGTTGATGCTGGCTTACCTGATGCTCCCATTCCTTTCGTTGGCATTGGAGCGTTTTTGCGACGGGGTCTGCTGGCAGTCGTGGCAGTTTGCTAGCACCTGCAGAGTCATCCAAAGAAGCAGCTGCTGCCACTGAAGGCTGCTTGAGGTGCTGCTGTTGCTGTGACCTCTTCACGTATTGCGGCAGCTGTGTCTGAGGACTCCGCCCATGGGAAGTCGTGGATGCACGCATGCGGCTAGTCGGCTGCTGTTCATTTGTTAGGACTTGCTGCTGTTGTTGATGGTTCTGAGGCTGCCTTGGTGAGTGAGCCTCTGTCACTGTAGTCGCTACAAGGCTTCCGATTCTGCTGCTGTTGCTACTGCTGGGTAAGAGAGTGCAGCAGGACAGGTCGGTGTGGCTAATTGTTGCACCGCATGGTTCCGTGGTCCTGATCAAACTTTCCGCTGAGAGTGGATCAGGAGACGCGCTGCCAGCAAGTCGCTCCGCTGACCGAGCGCCGAAGCTGTTCATCACGGGCAGTCGCAATAAAGGGCATGTTTGAGCCGGCTTTTGAAGCGTGGGCTGGCGGTGTTGATAGGGAAGCTGCCCCCCTCCTGGCACAATCCTTGTTTCTGTGGCCGTGCCAATATGTACGGTTGCTTCGGGGACTTCTTGCGTGGCCCATGGAGCTTCAGGCTTTGAACACAAGGCTTTCTCTTCCCCATATCCCATTAAACGAGGCCTATTCTTCCTCAACCGCAGTGGCTGGGGAGCAGCTGGCTCCTCCAAGATTCCTCTATGGGCTCCCCACACATGAGGGCCACTATGTCCCTGTGTGCGCTGCTGTGCAGTAGAGCCGACAGCAGCAACTGCCTTTGCTGCTTCAATCGGTGGAGGTGTGCTAGGCGATATCTGTGGTGGATCGCATTGCGGGTTTGCTGACCAGATAGGAGGCAGCACATGTGCTGAATCAGCGCCACGCTTAATGGCGGTGCAGCTTGTAGCACAAGGCACCTTAATGCTCATTGCTCCACCGCTTCTACATGCTTTTAGGCTCTTCTGTTTGGCAGATAGCTTTTGAGAAGTGTACGTGTGAGACTGCTCTTCTTGTAGCTCCGTCTTCACAAATAAAGGAGCGGCTTCTAGCTGAGGAGCCACGGTGCTTGAAGCTGCCGGAAGCGGAGCATGATTGCTGCTGCTTCCGCTGTTCCTACCTTGAGAGCTTTCCCGCATTAATGTGGGACCTTTTGTGGAGCACAGCAGCGCCTGTTCAGCACTCTTAACAAGCTGCAGAGCCTGCCGAACAGCTTCTGCCGATGCTGCCGACTGGCGGCTTGTATGCCCAGTGAGCGATAATTGCTTGTGCTGCTGCAATTCCTGCTGCAGCTCATGCTGCAATAAACTCCATAACACTCCCGCATTATGATACTGCTTTGGCGAGTGGAGAGGCTGGGGCAGCGCCCGCTGCAGCGGCATGGCACTCAAGAGCACAAGCATGAGTCATGATGCTGCACTCCCTCGCTCATGCAAGTTGCAGATATCAGGCACCAAAGTGGCGCTTCTGAATTTCGGATTTTTTGGTAAACGCGCCTTACCCTGGGGCGAAGCCTGTCCTTCGAACTCAGCGTGCCAAGAGATGCTGCTTCTGCTGCTGATGCGCTTGCAGCTGTGGCGTCCCGTACTAGCTGTATTGTCTCTCCAGGCAAAGCGAAGACTTGCCGCTGCTTCAGTACTCCGCAGCGGCACCGGCAAATGCACCCCGGGCTTTTTTGTTGGGCAAAGCTGCTGCCGTGTGCTGTCACGTGGGCTCTTGTTGCATTCAAGGATGCACTGGCGACAGCAGGGTCATTGGGTGCAACACGTGCTGTTTCTGTTGCGCTGGCACCCAGAACGGCGCCCCCTTCGGTTGCGGCTGAGTCATCAAAAGCCCCGGTAGGATCCTGCTTGGGCGAAGATTGCTGCTGTTTTCCGGATGCAGTGGCAACAGCTGCATAAGACGGGACTTCCTCATCTGCTGAAGAGGGCTCGAGCTTACCCGTCGAAGGAAGACTGATAAAAGAAGCTCTTTCTTCTTGCAGAACTCTTGAGGCAGATTTTGCTTGTGACGCAGGTCTCGATGCTGTGAGTATCGCGCAATCCCCCAGAGGTTTCGGGCTTTGTTGATGCGAAAGGGTGCAATACGCTCCATGCGCTGCTACTACACACAATTGGCGCTCAGCTCGCATTTGCCGAGGTGCGCAACAGGCAGCGCCTTGATCCGGTTGTCCGTCTTGTTTCTGAAAATTCAACATTCCCTTATGATTTTGCCGGGGTGCTTGATCTCCAGGCACTTTGGTGAGCCCCACTACCCTGGATGTAGTCGGAAGATACACCGCGGCGTCAGCTGCTGCTGCCACACATACAATTTCACAATGAGACCCTGTTTCCCTGCCAACTGTACCCAGTGATTGATGAGCTTCGCTCTTTGTGCAGCAGCTACAAAGGCAATGCAACTTTTTGGCGCGACGCCTTGCATTCAGCAACTGCTGCGTCAGGAGCCGCCTCTCCTCTAGCTGCTGCAACAGCAGCGCCTGCTCTCGCAGCCGCATGCAGATCTTGAGCCGAAGTGCAGCAGTCGGGCAACTTGGTTCCACTGTGCTACTGCTACCTCTGATGCTACTACCGCTACGGCTGCTACAAAGCCCACTGCGTGGCACCTCTGGGATTTCGGTAGCATGGTTGGATTTCTGCAGCTTCTGAAGCTGCTGCTGTTGATTTTGCAGTTGCCAACAGTGGCACATTTGCGTAGTTATCTGTTCCATTGATGTTGTAGCTGAGATAGTTTCAACGGGGGTCCTCGAGTGCTGCTCACAACCAAGCTGCGGCATATCTGATCTGGAACTTTTGCCCGCTACTGGAGCTGATGTGCATGTGGGAGGTGCAAGTGTCACAACACCAGCCACATTGACGGCACCAGCCTCTGCAGGTGGTGGTGCTGCTTGTTTTTGATGGTCCCTATCAGATGCACAGGAGCAGACGTGAAGATGGTGCAAGCGTTGCCGCTGTGGAGGGTGCTCCTGCAGGTGCACCGATGCGTCTATTTCGTCAGTTGCTGCTGTTGTGGCCGTATCAGCCAAGATGCCCTTGCTGCTTTGTAGTGGTTGTCTAGACGGCATCACGCCTTTGGGAGACGGCACCGGAGGCCTCTTATGGAGCACTCGAGTGTCTTCATCAGCGGCTGCAGCAGTCCTATTGGCAGCACTGTGGCAGTCTGCCTTTATGCCTAGATGCATTCGAACAGAAGAGGCAGCGGCTTTTGAGTCGGCCACCGGGTCTCCAGGTGAATGTGCGCTATGGAAGCTACTGCCACCTCTACTGTTCTGGCGACTCTCATATCTTGCCAGTGGTGATGCATCATCACTACGGGCAGAAGATGTGTCAGCTACGGCCGAACAGTGGCTGGTCAGAGAATTGAGAATTTCCGTTGAGCCCTTGCATAGAAGGCGTCTCTGTCTGTTGCTTGGACCATCCAATTTGCTGCTAGTCTCGCTGCGAGCTTCAGCAGTAACAATAGCAGTTGCCAAAACAGAATTTTCCCTTTTTCTGTTTCGGCCCCGGCGCAACAGTTGCCTTATCCGCCGAGTCCCCGTGCGCAGCAGCTCGAAAGAAGGGCTTGGCTGTGCTCCTTCTACTTTATTCGTGTACGAGTCGTTTGTGTTCCTACTCCTTTCGCTGCTACTTCTGCCGCCACGGCTACAACTACGGCGGCGTCCTAAAATCGCTTTTGCAGTGTGTGGGACGACATACGGTGCAAAGCTACTCATCTTTCTGAGCCCTGTGGACTTCGGCAGCCCACTATAAACTGCAAGAATTCATGTAGCCGGCGGCTGATCTATATCAGAGGCAGCCCCAACAGTGAATTTGTCTTGCCGGTGGTATATTAACTATTTTTGGAGTACTGCTGCCGGTAGCCATTGCACGTATTCGGGCTGTGATTACAGTGGACTTACACTGGATCCCAATCAGCAGACGAACGCATGCATCCAATGGGGGTTCTAGAAGGCATACTGCCTTTGCTGTACGAGCACCCACTGCTACAGGAGCAGCAGAGACCACGTGGCATCACACTCCTGCAGCAACGAGTGGCTGAGCCGACATTCGTTAGACTTTTGCAAAGGGAACCCACTGGTTTCATCAAGATTAAAGTCGGGGGCTTGCAGTGTAGATTCAGAAGCAGGGTCACCGTTTTGCAGCATTGCGCCTCTCTGCAGCTCTAGAGCGAATGACTGCTTTAAACGTGTCTTCCGTTGAAACAGTGCTCTGCGCGATTATATGTGCTTTTGCATGCAGCAAAAGTACTAAATTCAGCAGTGGCGGCCGCAGCAGCCGGGGCGGCTGCTGTAACACCTGTAGCAGCCGGCCATGGGCCCCCCTAGCAGCAGCAGCCGCACCAGAGGGATCCTCAGCCGGGTTTCTGCGCGTTTTCGTAATTTATCGAATCGGATCCTTTGCGGCGCGTTCCGGTTTTTCTAGATCCCTTTTTGGGTCTGCATTTGTTACAGGCGGCTTCCTCACTTCGGCTCATTGCGCAGCAAGGCAGCAGCAACAGCAACAGCAGGGAGCATCTGACTTTTGTGGCGGACTTCAGTAAGCAAGCCATGGATCCTGCAGAAACGAGCAGCAACCGTTCTTGGGCCCGAGAACCTGCTGCTCAAGTGGCAGCGGTCGCACCAACAGCAGCAGCAGCGACAGCAGAGCGCAGCATGCAGGCCGTCGGCCAAACAAAGCAGGACGGAGACGATGCAGCAATGATCGATTCCGTGTTGCTACGCATGCAGCACGCAGATGACCTTTGGGCGCAGCTGGAAGCAGCAGCAGCACGTGACTTGGGACCACAGAAGGCAGAAGAGTAAGCAGTTGCTGGTTCTGCTACGGGTTCAAGTGCGATATGCAGTGGTCTTTTGGCAGTGCCGTAGGCCTGGCACAAAGGCAGCAGTAAGGTGACGGCCTAAGTAGCCCTTTCGTGTTTCGCTGGAGCTGTTGGTTGTGGTGCGTTGCTGCTGTTCGCGAGCAAGTTCCTGATGGCACTGCCTGCAGGCTGTCAGAGGCCTGCAGCCACATGCCAGGTGCCAGCAGCCGATGTGCGTATCGTTACGGTCGCCTCTGATTGTATGCTTGCCTGTGTATTGTACATCGGTGGCTCGAGTGCTTTGCCGCTTTCAGGCTCCATAGCCCTTTTCTGCCTCGGCTCTTCGTTGCAGAAGTTGCTCTTATTGAGGCAGCCTGTAATACCTCTTGCCACTTTTCCTGTGCCACCGTCCGTCACTCAGTCCTTGTCTGTTCTTTTGCCATCAGTTTTCCCCTCCACGCCTCCTTGTATGCTCATGCGACGCTACCCTATTCAGAAAGTTGGGCTCCTCTGCGGCACGCGCCTTTTGCATAGAAGCCTTCTTACCTGCCTGTGTTTCTGTTTTGGCCATTTTCATTTCACATCCACGATTTTTGCTCTCTCATGCCATGCGCGGCTCACGAAGCCTCTCTTGTGCGAATGCGGGCCTTGCCAGTCTTCCTTATCCACCGCAGTGGAGTATTGGCTCAGATGCATTGACTCGCAATCAGACGACTTTGCTGCCACACCGCCTATTAGCGCTTCAAGCAGAAAAGAGCAACATGCCATAGAAATCATTATGCACAAACAATACGATTGCAATAGGCGCCTGCGACTGTCAGCCGTTTGCCGGCGCATGTATAAAAGCTCTGAAGTGACGTGAGCTCTTGTTTCCACACCACCTTGCTATGCTATGTATTTGCCCCCTCTGTGTCTCGACTGCAGATTTGTTGCCGCTTTCATGACCGGCCACAGGCAGAAAGTCAGTGCCTGCAATTTGGAGCATGCGGAACAGCTCGCTTCCCAGATCCTCTCCGCGTTGCGCGAATATCAAAGCAAATAGGATTCACACTTGTTATAGCACTGAGACACCAAAAGGCTGCTACTGCGGGAGGTTCCCCTCCACACCAGCCTCCAAATCGCCGCGTGTTCTCCTTTGGAGACACGTTGTTGCGCACAAAACGGCAGCAGCCGTCACACGGTGATGCCTTGACAGGCGCAGTATCTCCCCATGCAGGAGCAGAAAAAGATGTACAAAACACCCAAAAGAAGGCCATCTGCGTTTCCTCGCCGTCCTTCGTTGCGGCCAAATTTCTACCCAAAGGAATCAAGACTCGCACCCTCGTCCTCTCTGCCGTAAAGGCACAGCTGCCCACAGCTCCCGTTGCTGCTATTGCAACAACCGGGATGCGCTGCCTGCTGCGACGGTATGTTCAGCAGCAGCGGCGAGAGAAACTCGCAAGTCTTTTTGGAAACATCCCTGCACTGGCCCCTTCTGGCCGCAGCCGAAGCAAGCTGCTGCAGCTATCGCAGCAGCGGTTGCAGTTACTACCGCAGCTGCTGCTGGGGGTCTTTACACCCCTGCTTACAAGGGGTGTTGTTTAGTGCTCACAGCTCATTAGCTGCAGCATGACAGCGCTCATGAAAAGGTAATCGTAGTGCAGCACCAGCAGCAGCGGCTGTTTTCGCTACTGTATGTGCTGCTTCGGCCCCTTCATGCGGGAACATGGGAATTTAATCTACACTCATTGCTCCCTGGGAGGTCTGAGAGGTTGTACGCAGCAGCACCCCTTCGTCATCTTCACTTTCTTCTCGTGCTTCATCCTCGCGATCCAGTTGCTGCTGCTGCGCTTTTTGCAGCAGCAGCAGCGCATCTGTTTTGCTTGCTCGTGTTGATGCTGGAATCAGCAACACACCGGCCTTCGCAACGGCTTCTGCTGCAGTTAGTCCCCGTATGAAATGTTGCGGCTCCTGGATCTCGGAGAGCGCAGCAAGAGGGTCTGCTAAGTTCTGCTGCATTAGAAGATCTTGCTGCTGCTGAAGAGGCCGCAATAGCGGCTCGTAGATATGGTTCTGTCCATACGGCACAAGGGCAACACACGACGATGGTGCATCCGGAGGGGGAGCAGACCCCATGGTGGGTTTTTCTTCTGAGACTGCTGCAGTTAAACATGATGCTCCTACTCCCGCTGTTGCAGCCTGGACCTCTGTTGGAACTGCCGCAATGGCTGCTTCCCCTTCATTGCTAGTTCTGATACGACAAGCCTTAGACACGGGCACCTCTGAGGGCAGTGCCCTCTTTCGGCCAGAGAGCACGCAAGGGCTCTGCTGCCGCAGCTGATGTCGCAGCTCTTGGTTCTGGTACTTCTGCTCCTGTGAACGTGATTGCACAGGGAGATCTGCACACCTCTGTGCAGCGCCTGGCGCGTTTAACAACCGCTGCCGCTTAGGCTGTTGCTGCAGTAGCTGCTGCTGGCCGTGCTGGTGCTGTAGCTCCTGAAAGTGCAGGGTATGCAGTGGTGGCCTGTCCGCAACTGCGGGTTGTATTGGAGGCGCGTGTTCGACTGGGGAAAGCCTGCGCTTTTGAGATGACGGCATAGTGGCACCGCGGTTCAAGATATGCAGACGAACGCTCCTCCTGTTGCCTCAGTGCACGCTACAGCCGTGTGCACCGTTGTTTAGCTGCAAGCGCAGTGGCATTTCAGGCTGGTCGTTCATGCTCCCGCCATGAGCCGCGTTCCACTCTTTCTGGTGGTGCTACGGCTACGGCTGTCCAACCAATTCAGATTAATATTCTGTGCAAACCATAGAAGGCGACGCAGCAGCGCCCTAAGCAAAGTCACTTATGAGCCAGAAACGAAACCGCCTTTGCTGCTGCTGCTGTGTGCGCGTGTTCATGTGCAACGAACAAAACACGTCCTGACTGCTTCCTTTTAGCGGCCATACGACTTAGCAATGGCAGTCATAAAGAAGCTTTGCGTGCAACATCTAGAGTAGGTTCTCACTGGGGGAAAGTTACGCGTACCGTGGAGGGCCTCCTCCCAGCCTGGGGCTGTTCATGATGCTCTGCTACGTTGCTGCTGCAGTTACATACCCCGCCGTTCTAGGGCAATATCGCTGGTGCTGCGACTTTGAAATTCGGTGTTGTTGCTATCATTGCTGCTTTTTATTCGTAATGATGGTCCAAAGCTGCTCGCTAGAGCATGTACTGCAGTTGCCCTACCTATGCGTGCTGGTGTAAGCCTACGGCACTGGTATCATTGCTACTCGTGAATTACTTGCACCTGCTGTTACTTTCCTAAATTAAAGGGAGGAAGCAGTTGCATTTCTGTGGATTAGCAAGCTGATGCGGATGTAGGCACCGCGTAGCTCGTCGGTGTGATACACTTTGGCGGTGCTGTTCAAGCATCGTGCTTCATGGCCTAGTGTTCTCATAGACACTGCGCGCCAGTTGCCCAGAGGCCTTTACTGTGAAGAGCGCACCTTCCAAGGTCTTCCTAAGAAAGGTCTTAGCCGGAAACAAAACGTAAATAAACCAGTGTTACATCTCGATCTCTTGTGGACTAGGCTACATTTTCGAACTTTCTGCTACACTAACTATACTCAACTAGGGATTTGGTGAATAATTGAATCACTTGCTTGCCTGTTCGTATATCTTGTTTATTGCCGTGTTTTGTTAGCTTGACGTAGGAAGAAGTAATATTGTGCGGGAGAGTGCGGGATGTGCAATGAGCAACTAGTTGTGACTTCTAAGTGTTGGGAGAATAGAGCTTCACGCATACCTAGCTGCCTCTGTCTTCTCATCTGGGAAGCTCTAAGGAGAACGGGTACGGCAAAGCGGGAGCACTTCTGGACAACAATAACTTTCCGTCAAGTTTGCATTAAATGATGTAAATGCCTCCTCTGAGGAGAACTTAGTTATGGGTGCGTCAATGAGGCAATACTGATCAGAAAAGGTATGGTTCCCTTAAGAACGACTTAATAGTCGAAGATACCACTAGCCGGTTCGTGGCCTATCATGCTTTGTCTTTCCGAGGTGAATCAACAGCACCGATCCTTGCGGTATGTCAATTGGCGGGTGAAGTACTTCCGTGGCGGTTTAATTAATATACACAAAGTGGTGTGCATGCAGAAATCGATAGACTACTACAAGCTTTCAAGCAAGCCTGAACTCATCAGTTCATGCAGACATCAGCTCAGCAGCAAGCTTTCGGGGGACGGAGAAAGATAGAGGGGGAGAATCTGTCAGTGGATCATTATATAGAGAAGAGTATAGCGTTGGCTTGCAACGGCCACTGATGAGGCGAGTTGTTGCTTTCTTAGTGATGTATCTTTGGTCTACCCCAAGTGACATGTTAGATAATCGCAGGATGGGCAACAACTAAGCTTTTCAACAACCAATTATCGGGGCTTCCCAAAGGGTGAACTGCTTGATATTTCAGGAGCAAGTGAACCCAACTCCAGCCTCCTTGGCTTGTAACGAAAAGTCAAAAAGAGATTAAACACCATGATTATCAGAGATGTGTGAATCGGCCCTATCCTACTATCGACAATGACCGATAACACAGAACAACAGGAAATCCACGCGGGTGCTTAGCCCTCGGCGGCTTCCCCAGAACACACTTGCTCCCATTTTTGTAAGATTGAGTTTTCTTATCATGGAACTCAAGAACTAAAGGAAGGGGACTAGGCCCATTGAAAGCAGGCTGCCTGTAAAGCGCAAAAGGTTCATCAGTAAAGAGGAAGGCCCCAAGCAAACTGCGGCGCACTGAAAGGAGCTAGAGGATAGGCCGCACCTGGGGACCCACGACGGGTCAATTCTTCGCTTCAACAAGCTTAAACTAATGACCCATAATTGTTTGCTTTGCTTGACACTCGATATGGAGAGAATCAGCTATTCAGGCAGAATGCGCAAAGGTGCAAACTGCCTGATCCCTCAGGAGCGCAGTCTCGAAGACTCAGGTTTACTGACAGGCGGCAGAGCACAAGAAGCAGAAACACAGTTAGGGGTATATGCTCCTTGGGCTTCAAATGGGGTCTTCAATCATGATGTGTGGCTTCGATGCTGGAGCCGCCAACCATGACGAAATCCTAGGTGTGTGATGGGTGGCCCAATAAAGGCGCAGATGCGTCCAGAGCAGTGTGCACTGGAGTTTAGTGTCGGGAAGCGCTAGGATGAAGCACCCCCTGATCAACAAGAAATGATTATTGAATCTGTGTTGCGCAGTGTAGTTTCCGCACTTCAAAAGAGTGAGGCAGAGTCTCTGCGGGCGGCTCAGTAGAGCAGAAAGAGAAGGCGATTCTGAAGGTGCAACACCTTGGAGTGGCTCTGCAGCTGGATCTTTATTGGGGGACTCAATTGATTGTCTGGCTGAGAAACGGAAGAACTAAGGAACTAGAAAGGAGGAGTTGGCGGATGTGCAAAAATAATGACGAGCTGCCAGTGAACCGTAGACCAACTGGCCGTCCAACGCAAAGTATTAAGTTCATCCTCGGGTTAGCCTTAAGTCATGTACCAAGCTCCCACTGCATGGAGATGAGGTTGAGAAGCAGGCAAATAACGTGTCGAAACAAGGGTGCAATGCACGAAGCGGCCAGTGCTGTTGGGCAAAGCCTGGTGGTGGTACGTAAAAGGATAGAAGGTGGCGCATGTGAGACAACTTTCGGTTTCTTGACACGATGCCCATGTTGTAGAATATGTCGATGCCTTTCCTCGGCAAATTACTTAGAAGGCTGCACAAATTAGTGTTCTACTTGGCATTTGATTCTACAGACGCCTTCTTACAAATTCCCATCCACTTTGATGACAGGCACAAAATAACATCCCGCACTTGCAAAGCTGAGTGCATCTGTACGCATTTTAGATCTGTTAACCTTTCAGCAGCTTAAGTGCGAAGACAGGCTACTTAAAAATGATTGTGATCCTATTGAGGAGTATATGGCTGATTGCATGGACCACGTCATGCTATTCAAGTGATTCGGTCCAAAACACACGCAGCACTCGTGTGCGTGCGCTTCAGCTGCTGCGGGACGTGCACTGATATGTGAAGGCACTCAAATGCTCAAGTGTTCTGGTAACACCGCTGTTTTGGTAGGTCTTGTTTTGACGGCAGGAATGGAGCCACATCCAGCAAAAATTGAGGCAATAAAGGCATGGCTTCTTCCCTTCGGGCACTTGTCAGGATGTTGTAAAGTTCTGTGGACTTGCACCTTAGCACCAAAATTTCATTCCTGTATTTGCTCGTATCTTTGGTCCTTTAGCTGGTTTACTGAAGGAATCAGAATCTAGGACTTCGACAGAGGAGGCTGCTGCCGCGGCAAGGACGCTTGCGGGTCGCTTTACAGCTTCTCCAGTGTCCGCTCTGGCCGTTATCACCGTCAGGTCTAGCCAATAGCCGATGCCAGTGATGTACTGACCAGCACTGTGCTGTCCCGTTTCACAGGATACTAGTTCTCCAAAACACCAAGTTTTTGCTGGTTATTTTTATCGTGGCACCGAAGCTGAGCATCCGAATTAAGTGAGATTAAAGGAATTTTATGTGGTGAATTGGGGCGTTAAAAAGTGCCGACATTGTTATGTGGGCGTCAATTCGTTGTTTAGATTGACTATTAGCATTAATTGACCATGAGAAAATTTCAAGAGTCTGATGACCTGAGAGGCGCTCCAGCAGTATGATTTTCACTAAGGTGCACTAGCGGCATCACCGACGCGATAGCTGACGCGCTTTTTCGACACCTAGCGGTTCATCATTGTACATGGAGGCTCTCCTTGTGCGTGATGTTTCGCGTTTTCTATCTAAATCGCACGAGCCGCGTTACAGCTGCCTCCCTCCTTGCCCCACTCGTTCGCGATCCGCTTTCCACGACAACAGGAAAGAAATGAATCCATAGCTCTTCAGAGCAGCTATGCCGTTCCCGCGCAGTAGCTTTATTGCATACATGCACAGCGTTGTATGATCTAATGCCGTGGTGTCATCCCTGGTTTGCAGAGGTGAAAATCGCTGAAGCGCAAAAGCGTACAACTCCATAGTCACTAAGTGCAAGCGGATCCAGAAGTAGCCAAGTAGATTAGCATATTCTGTTTTGCTGCCGTGTCTGCTCTTTTTACCTATTCTCTCAGATTTTTATTTTCAAGGACTTGCCCTATCGTGTGGCGCTATGTCGAAGATGTCCCGAGAGGGACACTTACTGACAGCCTCGACGCAAAATTTATGTTATTGAGTGTTGCTCAAATCAACCGCCGCCTTCCCCTGCCCGTGCTCTTCAGTGTTGCAGACATGAGGGGAGAGGGAGCGCTAGAGTGCCCACTGGTGTAGCCTGTAACCGCCCTTATCATTCACATCTAGTTGCCCATAGCATCTAGCGCGCATGCACAGATATGTACGAACAGACAAGCCACTTGGTCAGTTTCTTACTAAATCTTGGTTAAACATAACGTAGTGTAGTGGAACGCTTGTACGTATTGCTTAGCCCCCTACATACCGCGCTTCCCTCAATGCAGGATTAATGCTCGACGACGCCTTGAGCATGGGCCCTGTTGCAGATCATGGAGGGCAGGGGCAAGTAGTGCGGTGTCTGAAGCGCCGCTGCCAAGATCTGGGATCCCCTCAAGGCCAGGCGGGCACAGCATAGCACGCATTCAACCCCTTTGTATGAACGCTTCAGCTCTTCGAGACGTACATGAACTCGAGAGAATTTGTCATCCACATACGGATTATCGGCAACCTACGTGTATTCCTGAGAATAGAAGAGCATACAAGCCAACCTCATTGGACTCTCGTTCACACGCACACGGGTTCCACCCCTATGAGTCCCAGATAAAAACGTATGTGCCACTGCAGGTCATGCGCAGATTGATAATTGCATTCGTGCCCGAATACGGATGAACCTGAAGAAACGTTAATGCGTTAGACACCTCATCCGCAAGCTGTTGTTCGAGGAGACTTTACGACGGGCTTCGTCTGGTACTGTTTCAGAGGGATGCTCCCATGTCTTTAGAGCCATACAACTGAAGTTGCAAGCAAACTACGTGCTCATCGAATCACTAGACTGATCTGCGCAGTCGCGCGCCATATTGGACTCTGCTTTCATGCCCAAGAGACGAGGTGTGTGTCCACTAGGAGGGCCACAGGAAGATAATGGCGAGCGCGAGATCTCAGCTAGTCGGTCAGTAACCAAATGAGCTTGTAAGGATTAGAGAGAGAGCGCACAGGAGTGAAGGCGACAGAAAGGAGGAAGTGCACAGAGAGCGGCAGACGGCGAGCGTCCGATCAAAAGGCGTTAGACACTTGGAGGTAGGGAGTTCTCTAGAGAAAGCTGGAAAGTGCTAATGCCTTTGAACCCTAAGCCGAGTTCAGGGAAATACAAAAGGCCCCCTTCTACCTCGAGCTGCCTCTTTAGTCTGCTCTATGGTACAAATCCTCTTGAGATTAGAGGTTGCCCACCTTAGGGGTCAAAAGAGAGGCGTAAAGCCCACTGCCTTTCCCCTGGTACGAGCAAAACACGAATGTTACCGAACAAGTGCAGCACAGCTTCTCCCCCAAAAGGCACTCCGCTTAGGGGCCCAGCAGGACCGCGTAGCAACTGTGCAGTCGCCTCATCTACAGGAACTGCAGGCGTCCGCTGATGTGGCGGCTGCTGCTGCTGAGACACCTCCGTTCTTTCCTTTTCTTCAGGCGGTGCAGCCACCGCACATGATGGCAGACGGCGCACGCGGATGGAGCGAATGCAGTCATCTCCTCCGACGGCAGCAGGAGCCGTGGCTCTCCCGCTGTTTTCATCTGCAAGTGCAGTAGCAGGATCTCGCAAGTCTGCATGACCTTCGTTACATGAAAGCAGCTCCAGCCCGAGGGTTGAGAGGCTGTAGCTGCGAGCCTGGTGCAGAAGCGGCACAAAGAGCTGCAGCGCAGGCTGCGTGGGTGTATCCTCTTCTGAAGCGGTGGCAGAAACAAGTGCAACAGGCACGGAGGCCCTGCGCCTTGCATCTTCACTGCCCCCAGAGACGGATGCTTCCTTCGCCTCTTTGACTCCGTCATCGTGATGCGCGTCGGTTGTTGCACTGCTTCCTTTGGTTGTTGCACTGCTTCCTTTGGTTGTTGCAGACGCCTCCCGATGTCCTACTTGTGGCAGTGCCACTGCGGCTGCTGCCGGTGTGTCTATACCCCAGTTAGACGGAACGTGAATGTGCGCGATCGAGGCGTAGCCGTACGCGAGGCCTCCTGGGTGGGCTGCCTTGAGATATTCATTCAAATACCACGAGGAAAAGCTCAGCTGCGCATCCTCCGCTCGGCGCTTGTTGCGGTTACAGTGGTGGCAGATGGCCTGCAAAAGGGAGGTGCACATAATATCAGGAACAAAACGACCCGTTGGACAGGCATCAAGACGGGTGGAGGTAAAAGGAGGGGATCCTGTCGACACAGAGATGAGTGCAGCAGCACACAGCCAAAAAGGCATGGATACTCGGGCAAACGCGGAGCAAGCAGCGACGTTCATGAGAGTGCAAATGGAGGAGAAAGCGACAAGAGATACGACAGCGAGAAGGCGGAAAAGCACGACCTGGGGCAGATGGAAGGGCGTACTGACACAAAGAACGAAATGTGGAAGAGGCTCAGCACCTCTCTACATCGCCGCATGCAGACGGGCACGCAGCAGGCCCCAGCCAGCGTCATCGCATCAGTCAGGGAAACCTTCCAGAAACTACAACCGTCGTGCACTTAGCAGGATGACAGACAGCGCCATCCCCCATAACACAAGGAAGGCAGTAAAATACGGAGGAAAGCATCAAGAACTGTAGCAGCTCAGCGTCACAAGAAGCAACAGACACATGCGCAGGTGGACTACCGGCAATGGCACCGTAGAAACCGATGCAGGAGCAACCCCCTTACCTCCAAGTCGACGAGAGGCTCCATTCGACTTCGCGTTTTCAGAATTCTGTGGACCATAATGTCCGCGTAGCGGCGAATGGGTGAAGTGAAGTGGAGATACACAGGAAGGGCAAGACCCCAATGCCTGCAAAATCACGGCGACAGCAGCAGCTCCTGCAGCAAGTCCACCAACACTCTCAACCGGCGACAGCGACCACTATCGCAGTATTCTTCTTAAATGCTTCTTCCAAAGGCCGGAGAGAACACTGGGAAGACGCGTGTGAAGAACCCCCATAGCTACGGCAGCGCAGCATGCCATCCCATGCAACAATGCAGCTGCAGTTGCAGCAGCAAGAGCCGAACGTGCACCGTCATTCAAGCCGAAAAAAGGCAACAGCATCGTACGCAGCTGAGAGGGGTTTGAACGCAGGGGAGGCGCCAACTGCATATGAAGACGAAACGCCTCCAGAAGCTTCACAAGCGGCATTCAGACTGTCGCTGCATGTGCTGCTGCTGCCGAGAGTTTGAGCAGCAGTCGCAGCAGCAAAGGGCCCAGCCGTTGGTTGTGCGACAACGCTATGGCTGGGAATGTACTCCGCAGGGAGCAGCTCCTTGAGGCAGGCAAAACAAAGAGCCTGCGTCACAGCAAAGTGGGCAGCATCCAATGTCGGCCTAAAGAACCCTGGTAACTGCAACAGCCGCAATAACACCCTGCATCCAAAGACACTCCAACATCGCCATCAAAGCTCGCGACCTACTCCAAAGGCCTGGTGACTCATTCGAGAGGAGCAGAAGCTTAACAGCTCCCCCAAGCCAGGAGTAAAAGATTCAGAAGAAGAGGCACACGACGCATCGTCCTGTCTGTTGTTCGCCTCCCTTGCAAGAGCGCTTGCTGTTACGTCTGTGGCAGCAGCAGCAGCCGCAAAGGTGGGAGATGTCTTTGCGTTGTTCGTGTGAACTGGCCTCATCGCATCGTTTTCCCTTGCCGTTACAGAAGAAGGATCCCGAGACGGCTGTTGTTGTTGCTGCTGCTGCTGTTGCTGCTGCTGCTGCTTCCGCTGTAGAGAGAACCGAAACTCATGCGCGAGGGTCGGTCCAATAAGCTGCAAGACGCGGCGCGTCGCCTGCGAGTTGCTGCTGCCGTGCCGCCTCACGACTCCCCCAAAGACCATAGGAGAACTGGCCGTTGCAGCAGACACAGAAGCAGTGTCTCCTGCCTGCTGCTGCTGCTCTTCCTGAGAGACTTCAGCGTCAAACTGTCCAGCAAGAGGCCCTTTCTCTGCCCGGATGGCACCAGCATGAGCAGGCGCTGTTGTTGTTGCTGCTGCTGCACTCCTACTTTCGCTCACAATGCGCGCAGCAACAACATGATTGGCTAAGACCATTGCCTCCTCAATCATCGCATGAGCCCATCGCTTGTCCTCTCTGATGACTCGGAGGCGTAGAGGACGCCTGCTGGGGCTAGTACTGCTGCTTTCAAGCCGCTCAAAAGTGATACTCCAGCCGACAGAAGAGTTCAGTGTCAGGCTTCCGTTTTCGCTGCGCAATGCACAGCGGTTTGCAGCCAGATGATGCAGTAGGAGCAGGTCTTCAGCGACTCCCCCTGTGCACACACCAACCCCCCAAAAAACGAGTCCGCAGGAAACACAATGCATGCGCAGATTTCTTTTCAAGTTGTCGCCATATACGCTGGTCACCTGCCCATACCAGTGGTAAAACGGCCTGCAGGCTCCTTCAACGTAAGGGAAGCACCAAAACTTCCGCAGCAAAGCAGACGCCATAGGAGCACACCTGGAATTCCATGCCGTGCCCCTTCTTCTCTGATAATGCCGATCACGTCAGCAACCTCCATCAGCGAGAACGCAGCTCGCTGCAAGTGCTGCTGTTCGAGCTGTTGCAGCAACACCTGCAGCAGCGCGCGGCTGCCATCTGCTGACGGCTGTTGCTGCTGGGCTCCAACGAGCTGTTGCAGGTTGCTGGCAGAGAGGAGCCGAAGCAGCTCAGGAGACACCAGAGGAGACATATGGGGAGGCAGTTGCTGCAGTTGCTGCTGCAGGAGAAGCCGCGAATGCCGCCCCAGCATGCAGGAACAAAGCGACTCCAAGAACTCGTCAACCTGAGAGTAGGTCAGACGAGCTCTGCGGCAGCAAGAAGCACAACACGCGCACGATCTGCGAAATGCAGCGTGCTAAATGCAGCTTCTGTGGCCGCCTTCGAGAGGCAGATGTAAATGCTGCAGCACCCATGACTTCGCTCGACTTCGACAGGGCAGCGCGTGCCTAGCAGCAGCAGCAGCAGCAGCAGCCGACCACAGGAAAGGCTGCAGTTGAGCAGAAATAGCCATCGGTGCAACACACACACACTACTAGAACCCGCCACTGACCAGCTGCACAAGGGGTAGAAGACACGTCAGCAGCAGCAGCACCAGAGAGCTTGGAGGCATACCCAGACTGAATGAGGGTTCCTGTTTCTCCCGCTTGCAAAATCGAGCCATCATCAGCGATGCGGCTGAAGACGGACCGCGCAAGACGAGGCACACCAGGGAGAAGCGAGCAGACATCCTCGCTCAATTCCCTGGGTAGCATCGGATACACCCTGGAATCAGTAGCAGCAGAAGTCGCAAACATGCGCAGAGGCAGCCACGCCAATAACAGCTGCTGATGCGGCAGGAGACTGAGCACACAGCCTGAAGGATACAAGGGTAGACGAAGCAAAGAAAGGAAAAGCATGCTGCCGGGCGGCCCTTCAGCGCGATTGATGCCAAAGGGCGAATGTGCAGCACCCGCGAAGGAAGAGTACTACGGCGAAGGGCACGCACTGAAGTCAAGTACGGCTTGTAAAAAGCCCAAACCATACCCGCCAGTTAGTATGCAGGGGAGAACGTCATGCTCCAAAACGCAACAGGCAAGGCCAGCGGAGGCATCCGTGCGGCAAAGCAGAGAGAGAGACAGAATGCAGGGATGGCAGGCAGGCAGGCATGCATGCATGGCAACGTGGAGAGACAACCAGGAGAGGTGTCTACGCATCCTGCCTTTCCCAGCACACGAGAAACGCGGAAACAATGCCAAACAAAAAGAATTTCTGCATGCAGCCCCACTTGTTATCCAGGTAGATGGATGTGGCCCTCCGGCGTGCCTCTGCGTCCAGCAGCGACCCCCGCGGAACGAAATGTGAGACGTCTGCAACATGCACACCTAGCTCATACTCCATGGTCACTGGAGCACTGGCTGCAAAGCATTCTGCAGCCTTCTTTCTACTGCCATCAGCTGCTGCCGCAGCAGCAGCAGCAAGAGCAGTAGCAGAAGGCAGTCGGCGGATGCTGATCGCGTCATCAAGGTCTTTCGCTGTGGGGGGATCAATACTGAAGATTCTGAGCGGGAGCAGCCTGCAGGCAGCTGCTTCTGTTGCAGCGGCCGCTTCTGTGCACCCTGTTGCTGCCGCGTCTGCCGTGGCAGATGCTCCCGATGGAAGCAGAGGAAAGAAGCTTGGCCTCATCGGCGGGCAAGCCGACGACGCCGTGCTGCTTTCTGCACACTGGCGCTTCGGAGCTTCCTCCTCGTGTCTCTGGAAGGCTGTTCGCGTTTCCCGCTGCTGCCTGCAATCAACGCGCGTGTTGCTCTCGATGGCTTGCTGCAGCCACAACGGGTTCCCTGTGTCTGGACACCTGGCATGCAGTCGTTGCCGCAGTTCTGCGTACACCGCGGGGGAGAAATCCCTGAACTCTAGACCTGTCAGCTGGACTGCCGCATCTGCTTCTGCTGCTATGTCTCCCTTGATACCAATAAGTGACACTTCTGCGTCCGCTGCTGCAGGAGCCGTGTTGTGCACTGGCCAGTCGCCTCTCCGCAACAGCACCAGCAAGCTCTGACTATCACCCGCGAGAGAGAGCAGATACTTGGCAGCTTCTTCCATGGGGTCGAGCTGATGCTGCTGCGGCTGCTCCCTCTGCGTCCTGTCGCCTTGCGGCTCTTCTGGGCAGCTTGCTTGCTGCTGCTGCTGCTGGTGCTGTTGCACTGCACGGAGAAGCGCCAAGAGCGGCAGTCGAAAGGGTGGCAGCCTGCCGTCCCTGCGTTGCAAAAACCAGAAACACAGACCGGAAGTCGAGAAAAGATACCCACAAACAGCCGAGATGCCAAAATGGGGAACTTGGAGACAGAGACGCTTGCAGGGTGCTTCAGGGAGGCAAGAAAAGAGCAGCAGCACATTTCATAGCACACACTGGGAGGCCGTAAGGGCATACGGCTAGGTGAGCGAGACAGCATCAGGGTTCAAACATTCAAACAAGGCAGCATGATGTATCCGCGTGAAAAACAAAACAAAAAAAGCCGAACGCCAGACACAAGCAAGGGCTCCAGATGCTAAGGCGCTCCTTACCTCGGTTGTGCCTTCACTGTACATGCATCCTCTGCTAGTATGCTTGCTCTCGCCTCCTGCTGCTGCTCAGTGTCTGCTTCCTGCTGAAGTTGCGACTGCGGCACTTTCGCTTGCTGCGCTGGAAGGCCGCGCTGCTCTGTCTGCTGCTGGAGCTGCCGCTGCCGTTTCAAAAAACGGCGGATAGATGCAGCATGCTGATGTGGCTGTACCAACGCGAGGATCTCCTGCGACACCCCAATTCCTCTCTCTTCAATATAAACGACGCGGCAATTCAGTTGCTGTTGCAACAAAGCCCCTTCTTGGTGCTGCTCCTGTTGTTGCTGTTGTTGTTGTTGCTCCTGTTGCTGTTGCTGCTGTTGTTGTTGCTGCTGCTCCTGTTGCTGTTGCTCCTGTTGTTGCTGTTGTTGCTGTTGTTGTTGCTGTTGTTGTTGATGCCCGCTGCTCCCACGAAAGACCTGGCAGCGGCGTCCTTCCGTCGGCATCTTGCGTGGAAATGTTTCTGCTGGTATGTCTGCTGGAGAGTGCACTGATGCTGCTTCTACGCCTGCAATGGCTGCCTGCCGCGGTGCTCCTGCTGGGGAGAAATCTGCCTTGGCAGCAACATCTGTTTCATTGGACACGGCCGCTTGTCTCTCCGTCACACAATACACTTCCCTGCAGAGAGTGGCTGCACCACTGTTCAAATGCTGCTGCTGTGGCGGCTCGGAAGCCTGTCGCTGCAGAGCTTTCCAGCAGACTTCCTCTGTAAACGCCCTCGGAAAGAACGTCGCAATGACTGCGTCCCCGTGCAAGGATCTATTTCTGGCTACAAAGCCCCCGATCTCAAACGCATGCAAAGTCTCTCGAGTTGCCGGGTGCACGAAGACTCGAAACGGCGCGCCAATGGCTTGAGCTTCCGAAGGGCGAACAAGCAACAGCTGCAGCACTCGCAGCACAGGACGGCGCAGCAGCGACACCGACTCTTCGAGCAAGCATTTCGCAGCAGCAGCAGCAACAGTCCCACAAGACGAGCAGCCACGAAGCCTCAGGAAGAAAGAAGACACTGCACGGCTGCAGCCGCAAGAAACAGTGCATGCAGCTGCAGCAACGCATCCTGAGATACGTTCGGAGGTAAAGCCCCCTAAGCAACTGCAACAGCAGAAGCACGGACGGCGTCAACAGCAAACGTAGCTGGCAGCAGCAACTCGACAGCAGAAAAACAGCGGCATGGCGGCATGCGGGAGAGCGGCCCTTACTGCTCTCGCCGTTTTGATTGCTGGAATGTGCATTTTCCCTCTCACTGCAAAGCCTGCCACGACTGCCTTTTCTGCTGCTGCCTTGGACCAGAATGGCTCAAACAAACTGCCGCTCCTCCCTATTACAGGCTCTGACGCGGTAGAGGCTGCTGCTGCTCCTGCTGCTGCTGCTCCTGCTCTCGAGCACTGACGCTTGCTGCTGCTGCCAAGGCGCTGATGGCGAAGCCTTCTCGAAAAGCTCCTTTCGCTGCGGGCTCGCGGCAGCAAGACAACGGGCTTGTTTTGCTGCTGCTGCTGCTGCTGCTGCTGCTGCTGCTGCTGCTGCTGCTGCTGCTGCTGCACAGTCCGGCGCGGATGGTGGCTGCTCCTCTGAACTGCTCGTTTACGAGGTCTCCAAAGTTCGCCTCTGCGGGAGCGTGTGCTGCTGTTGCCGCCACTGCTGCTGCTACAACTGCAACGACTACTACTGTTCAGCCCAGCAGGCGCACTGTCTCGAGACGCTTTTGCTGCTGCCGCTGCTGCTGCTGCCCATGCCTTCGGGTGCTCCTGGAACTGCTTAAGCAGCTGTAGGTACTCTGCCTGCGTCTGTTGCTGCCGCCGCTGCCGCTGCAGCTTTCGCTGAGAAGCAGCGATTCGCTTCCGTTGCTGTTGCTGCAGCTGCTCCTGCTCACTGGGGATGCTCGGTTGCCACGAGCTTCGCAGAGGAGTGACTTGCTGCTGCTGTGCCTGCTGGTGTTGCTGCTGCTGCTGCTCGAACTGCTGTGGCTGAGGCTGCAGCCGCACTGCAGGAGGGGAACATGTCCACGTATTGCTTGCTGGGTGCTGCACAAGAGGCACACGCCAGCCGTCCTGCAGCTGTTGCTCTTGCTGTTGCTCTTGCTGTTGCATGAAAGGCTGCTGGCGCTGCTGCATCAGCTGTTGCTGCTGCTGTTGCCACGCGCAGTAATGCAGCTGCCAAGCGATTTGCTGCTGAATCTGGGCTTCAATCTGCTGCTGCACTGTCGGAGCGATGAATGGCTCCTTGAGGTGCTGCTGCTGTCGGTATTTTTTCTTTGCTGTGGGAAGTGCTGATGCCGCTGGTGTACTTCGATCCACTGGGCTTCTATGCCTCGCTCTGGAGAGCTCTTGCTGGGGTTGCCGCTGTTGCGGCTGATGCAGCAGCAGCTGCTGCTTCGTCGGCTGCTTTTGCTTGTGTTGCTGCTGCACGACGCCGCGTGAAAAGCTTCCACACAAAGACTCTCCCCCTGCATGCGATGCCGCTGCTCCCGTATCGGCTGTCTCAGCTCTGGTGGGTAGGCCTTCCGACTCCGATTGATGGGGACGCCTTTGTGCTGCTGCTGCTGCTGCTGCTGCTGCTGCTGCTGCAAGTGTGGTGGCGCAAGCCTTTGCTGCCGGCTGCTGCAGCAAGAGACGGCCAGAAGGGCCTCCAAGGCAATGCAGTGAAAGCAGCATAGTTGCGACTGGTCTTGGTAGTGAGTGGCACTATTCTACGCTCCTTACTTCTGTCGGCGCTTTGTCTGTCCGCGTCGCATCGCCTGCTGCCACACCTCCTGCTGCCACACCTCCTGCTGAGGAAGTGCACTCCGTGATGCTGGACAGGGAGAGCCATGGGAGCTCCTAAGCCTCCAGACGGAGTTTCATGAGCGCTGGGTGCAGCACGAGCCGACGAGAAGGAACGCGCGATGACTGTCGTGCCCTCCCTATGAAGGAGAGACGGGGGACGGGGGGGCAGAGAGAGGAAGAGTCTGTTAGAAAGTTGCTGCTATCCTTCCTGAGACTCCCCGCGAGCGAGGCGTTCCCAGGAAGAAGCCAAGTTTCCTGTCGCGCCGTTGCTGGAGGGGCCCCTGAGGAATACTTGGGCTGGGGGGCCCCCCGGCAGCGGATATCCACTGAGAAGAAGACGGTGTTCAGGATCGGTGAAGAAGCAGGAGCACACAAAAGCTGCTTTCGAGGGAGTTTCTTTCAGTGGGCTGGGGGGAATAACCGCAAGGATGGGCAGTGTGGCACCCCCTGTCGAACCAGGCCCTGCCTTCGGCTCCGGCTGCTGCATGCAGGCTTGCAGAAGCCGCTATGGCAACATCTCTCCTACGCCATTCGGCGAGCATACTTCTTCAAGCAATGATCTTTTATGCAAGGACACGGATAAAGAGAGAGACACAGATGCACTCGGCTACAGATGGACCAAGATCTCAACAGACACAGGGGCACAGATTAACACCGACGCAAAGGTTTGATCTTCGCATGATACTCAACCGTGTCCACCCCGAATCCATCTACTCTTTTCACAGAAACAAAAAAGTGCCTTGATGACGGACTGTCGACTTTGAGGGTGGCCCTTAGCCCAGTACCCTTCGCAGCATCGACTTCCCTGAATCGACAATGAAGCCTTTTTGAACACGCGATGGGTGGTTACATGGAGCCTTTCTGGGGCGCGACCCCCCCCCTCCGTGTTTTCATGAGCCGCCTTTCTTTGCGAAAGGCCTACTCGCTTTCTCAGTCTCCGTGTAGCTATCTGCTGCTGTTGCCCATTGCTTCTATTTCTGTTCCTATGGCATCCTATACGTGTACTTGCCTCTGCCCATAGGCGCACCGCTTTGGTGCTTTATTGTGGAAGACATCGGGCTTCCCTCACAGCCAGCGACTACCATCGATCCTCCCTCCTTGCATCCTTGGGGAAATCTCCCTGCCTCTCTTGTGGTTGCCGCTGCACGTCTGTCTGTTCTCCGCCGTATGCGTGATCTCTCAGTGTGCTACTCTCGGAAGACAGTCTCTCTGCCACTGCTCTCCGCACCAAGTTTTCATGGGAGGCCTCTTTCCGAAGGCCTCCCTAGAAAGCTTGCAAGGAGTTCCTCTCGTCAAGCGACTTCTGACGTGCGTGTGTGAATCTTGATCCATGTGTGTCTGTCGCCTGTGTCACTGTCTGTCTCTCCCTCCATGTCACTAAGCCCAACAGCAAGCTGCACCCTCCACCGCAAAGCGTGCTTCCAACCAGGGGCCACGAACGTACAAAGAGAAGCGAAGAACAAGGCAGATGCCTCGAACTTTAATGTTATTACATTATGCGAACCGCACGTAGATACAGCCGATACCCCTGCTCGGCTTTTGGGTGGCTAGTGGAAAGAAGTTCTTTTGCCGCACGAACGTGTGCAGCCACCATATACCCCCACTCACCTACGCCTGTGTACGGCAATCCGAGCATTCTCTGCAACCATGCATATGCTCGATGTATTAAATATCTGCTTGCATGCGTATTAGTCCGTCCGTTGCCAACGGGCAGCAAAAGCAGCTTAGAGTGCGTGCAAATGTACCCAGATTATTGGGTACTTTGGAAGAGCTTGCAGCTCAAGTACCCCCCCAAATTCTGGGCATACATCCACAACGGCTTCCAAGCTGCTTAAGGTGTTGTTCGTTCGTACACCTCAGATTCCGAGTTACATGAGATATATGCATGCCAAGCACTACTACATTATGGCTTGAGCAGAACGCCAATGTTTACTGGCGTATCATGTCGTAGGAGAAGCCGGGGACCTTCAGCCAGATCAGGAAGAAGAGTCCTAAATGATAAACACCCGGGCAGAGACAAAGAAATGCCAATAGCAAGAAATGAATACTCGCTGACCAACTCTCGTCCTTCAACACGTTCAAGCCGCTCGCCGCGAAAGTCGCCCCCACGAGGGTCAGTGCGACGGCCTGAGGTTCAGTTACACCACAACTCGCACGGCAGGAGGCACGTGTTTGGAGAGCCATCAAACTCCACACGTACGTTCGGGAGGGCCAGTTCCGAGCAAGGCATACGGAACGAGCACAAAAAGATCAATACCAGCTCATCCTACGGAGAAAGAATCATACGGCAGGGCCCAAGGAGGTGCTTGCTGGAGGCAGGCGTCTCTTTTTGGGAGAACCGTCAACTCCATAGACATTTGGAGAATTCATGGAAACAAGAGGCGCACGATGTAGCTGCCAGACACAAAGTGACGTCCGCAGGCAGAATCACATGTGCTTGAGAGCTACTGGCCTCATAGGATTCATTTTCAAAGCGTAATGCTACGTGACTAACCAATAAAAGCGAGTATTTCGGGAGACCTTCTTGCTCTAAAGGCGGTGGCTCTGACAGAAGCCTTCTTTCAAATTCGTTCTTTGGCTGGAAATATCCCTCGCCGTCCGATTCTGCACGCAGGCAGCCATTGTCGACTGCCTCTGGGCTGGAATGGTCAGATTCCTCCTTGACACTGTGGTCCCCCGTCTCCCCCTGCCCCTCTTCTTCCCTCCCAGGGAGCTCGGAGCGGCTTTCCTTTTGGAAGCCACGCCGTCGTAGCTCTGTACACTCCTGCATTATCTTTTAGGGCTGCGTAGGCGGCAAGCAACACCCCCAGACACGTGACTGCTCAGCTCATACCACGCTCCGCAGCGCCAGCGAGGCTGCCAAAGCACAGCCTGCCGGAGCCTAATGCCGAGACACACACGGCTATGGAAACAGCGGCAGGAGCAGCACAAAAGCGTGGAGAAGGAGCAACAGGCCTATCTGCGGCGGCAGAAGCAGGAAGTTGTCCTCATGGCAGCAGGAAAGGCGGCTAGACTCTCAGCCTCAGAATCATACTAGACACTCGGGGAAATATAAAAATATTGCTTGGGGGCAAATATGACATTCTTTGATTTGCAGAAGCGGCTCCCCAACTCTTGACGCTCGAGTAACATGCATGCAACGCGTAGAACAATCCAGAATTACCATTGATGGGCTTGGGAATACCAATGCACATTTTGGCGCCCCCGCATTTTCAGAAAGTCAGAATCAACCGATAGGCAGAATGCGTACAGTTCTATTGAGACGAATGCAGTTTTTTCGTTTCCAATTTGCATAAAAACGGAACCGGCATGGCGGTGTGTCCGAGTGGTTAAGGAGGTAGACTAGAAATCTACTGGGCTCTGCCCGCGCAGGTTCGAATCCTGCCGCCGTCGTTTGCATGTCTGGTCGTTCCAGAAGCCCGTTGTTCCTTTTCGGTCACCGAACGGTTAGGATCAGTTGATTTTCTCCAGCATGAACGTATGGAGAAAATTTACGCAAGGAACGCCGGCTAAGCACATGCTAGGAGGCGGCGCCACGCTGCTCCACCCAATCAGCAGTGCATCGGGCCTGGAGTTACCCGATAGTACCAGCGCCAAATTTTTGTGTTAGAAAACGAGTAACGAAAGGACATGTAAGGCGACAGCAGCATAACTGGCAAGTGAATGCTTCCTGCTCACATACTGAAAATGGTGAGAGCACAAGACTGCTCGACGGCGGCAGGATTCGAACCTGCGCGGGCAGAGCCCAGTAGATTTCTAGTCTACCTCCTTAACCACTCGGACACACCGCCAATGAGGGCTAAAACTTTTTGTCTTGTTAAACGCTATGTGGGCTTTGTCTCAGCAAAACGAATCACCGTTGCACTGTAAACTGTCGGAATACCCGACACCAGGGTAAACGTTCCAGCTCTCATCTGCACTACTACTGTGCTAGATGTGTTGCCCGCGCTTTCCGCTGTGTGTCCCTTTTTTGCTATACAAGACGAGCACGACCAGGATCAAAGACTTCGTTTCCTCTGAATAGGCCGTTGTAACACAGCAGCTCAAAATGTATTCAACAAATTACTAACATGCGTTTGTCCAAGGGCGAACATGTTCTAGGCCGGAAGCACCGTGTTCAGAAATACAAGCGGAGAGCTAGAAAAGCGGCGCAGGCGGCTTGCCGTCGCCACCCGAAGTGATGACCAAGAAAGAGTCAACTGCGACGCCCACCCTTTCCTCTTCCATCAAACGTGGGGAGCGACGGCGGCAGGATTCGAACCTGCGCGGGCAGAGCCCAGTAGATTTCTAGTCTACCTCCTTAACCACTCGGACACACCGCCATAAGGGGATTCAATTTCTGTGTTACACAATAGTTCTTAAACACTTTGCCTTACATTACGCAGGAACTCACCGACTACACAGGGTAAATGTGCGTGAACTAGGCATTGCATACAGCTGATAGCTGGGTAGTGCATGTTAGCCCTGCTTCTTCACTGAAACCCATGGCGATGGGTTCACTTGGTTACGCAGGTAGACTGAAAATTCACTGAACTGTGCCAGTTCATCTATGGACCCTGCCGCCCTAGCATTCTCTGCATAGATTCACCTCAGTAGCGTCCGCCAGCTAACAAGGGTCTACCTGCGCACTGTAAAAGCACAAAGGCCACTCGCGCATTAGTTTGCCCTCATGTAACAAAGAAGAAAGCTTATCAAAGGAATGTACGTTCTTGCTTTAAATTCGACGTGTGTGCTTGCATATTAAATGAAAATTGAACATCGTGTAGGTATACCGATAGACACGTCCATAAGGAGAATGCGAAAGGCTACATTTCACTGCCCGTGCCGCACGGATGCCACGAAGAATACCAAAGGCATACAAGCATACTAAGACGCTCGAAGGTTCATCACTAGCGACTGAAGGCCCGCAGCGAATCATAAGGCTTGTGCACGTACTATCGTGCTGGACAACCGATGGATGCCAGCTATGGCTGCAACTTGGATGCCGGGTAAAGACGAGCAAAGCAAGGACTTAACAAACCGTGTGTCCAAATCGTAGCACTGTAGCAACAACACTGCAAAGTACATGTGAAGCAGACCCTTCTATCACTGCTGTAACACTCCATCTAAGTTCTTCGTTAGGAAACAGTTGACTTCAGGCTGGATACGAAGTAAACAGGGATTTAATAGATGTTTTCAAAAAGAACATTCGCCCTCCCCTGCCCACACTCTTCAGAGTGTGCTACATGGTTCGCGCAGCTGCACTGTGCACGCCGACTACTTGTAGCTGACTACATATAGCTAGCGCACATAAAAAGACCACTGAATCTTCTTGTGGCGGCAAAAGTCGATACATCTAGTTGTCATTATATATGCCTTGTGTAGTATACAATTTTTGAGTGTAGTCTAGCCGCTGCAGCTATCCCCGCCACCTCTCCGTTCTCGAGGCACACGCTATCACGTTCCTCACATGTACGTCAAGATCAGCTGCGTGGAGTGCAGCTGTACAGTTGCCATCTAGCGCCACTCCCCAGCAGTACAGGAACGCGAATGTAAAAGCAGTGTAAATGAGGAAGGCAAATGTGTGCGTCTTCCTTATAGTGAGCTCGAAGGAAAGAAACTGCAGATGCACTACTCATCAACCAACGATAAAACAATTCAACATAACCGTGGCATCTCGACGGCTCGCTGTCCTCGGAGGGCTAGAACGCATGTGCCCTCTGCGACAAGAAAAAAGAGGGCAATTCATTTGTCTGGAGGACTCACAGTATACAACGATTCGGCGGTCCCTCCGCGCGTTACACAGCAGCCTCTGCGTGCACACACAGCCGGCGCACGCAGCGTAGTCGATTCCAAAAAATGCATAAAGGCATACAGAAGAGTGCTCCGACAACATACCTGAGAGTGCCTGCGCATAAACCAAAGTGTAGAGAACGCGTACAAAATGACAACTGCGAACTTCTCAGGCAATCCCCATGTATTAAGGCAGCGTCTACAGGCAAAACAATGATGCATGAGAGTACGGTAAACGGTCGTAGCTGCCCTACCGGGAGCTTCTTAATCTTGTTCCTGTATAATGCACCTTAGAAAGCCCGCCGGACCACCACAACCAAATCTCTAGGCTCAAGACACTTGACCGACCGCCACTTACCCATCAGTTCGTTCCCATTTTTCTTGAGCTTTGCACAAACATCCGCGCACACTAGCCAGCTTTCCTCGAAGCTCCCAGATACTAGACGTTGCTGACAGTTCTGGACCATCAGTTCCGAGGCAGGATTGAAGAGAGGCTCTTCAATGCAGACCAGGGGATGTGCAAGAACAACGGGTAGACGAGTGTACCATAATATTACAATTCAAGCAGCACACAGAGGAAAAAATCAAGCCGATCATCTAGCTTTTGTGAAAACCGACCCGCAGGTACTGCGGAAGTGAGCGAGTGATGCACTCTGTCGGTCAATCTGCCTGAGGGTAGTTCGCAACGGTTATATTATTGTCAGTATGTAGGTACGTCAAAAGCCACCCAAAGCAGAGGTACGAACCTTCAATCCCTATCATATTAATACCCTGGGGAATCCCAGAGCTTCTAAAAATGAGTTGATAAGGAAACTTTCTGAGCCTTGGCACAACTGGAACAAGGAATGAAATGGGCATATATTTTGAGTCTGTCGAAAACGACGTACACGCAGTCCTTATCCTTGCCTGGCGGCAGTCCATTAATAGAGTCCGTAGTCGTATTAGTCCAGATCCCTATAGGAATCGAAGGGCTTTGCGAAAGGCCACGTGTAGGAGAAACTATTCAAGGGTTATCAAAGTCATGGAAACTCTTTGCAAGACAGATTAGAGACTGATGGTTTGTGAGGAGAAGAAAACGACGCCCATATGAATAGCGTCGGCATGTTGGGACCTCGCAAAGTGGCATAGAGCTCCTCTTTCGCACTGAATACCGCTGCTTGATTTCAAGGAAGCGGCGAAAATGCGAAGGACTTAACTGGTGTTTCGGAGAACAAGTAGCCTGGGGCCAGCTTATCACTCACCTCTCCGTCACTAGCCTCGGTTGTTAGGGAAAGATGATGCTCATGATTAGGCAGCGCGATTACCGGAGAAGTTGCGCATTCATGCCACAAACTCGTCCTTTTCTGTCCATGTCACAGACAGGGTTTTCTCAAGTACATCAGTCTGAGGATCAGTCGTTCGAACAGATACAGGAATCGAAATTCCAATAACAAAGTGCAAGCGTATAAAGCTTCATGTCATTGCAGGTAATTCCAAGTGAGAGCCTGGCCTTGAGTGCCTCACCTTTAGCCACATCTGGCTCAATCCCTGCCCCCGAAACACGAAATGACAGAACGACGGCTTTGCATGAAATGCAAAAGTTTGCATGCCTTCATAAGCCATCCTCTTTCCGCAACCGCTAAAGTCTAGCCATAGGTGCGGTAGATGCCCTTGAACGTTTCTGCTGGCGGCAAAATTTTTTTATTTAGAGAGCCATCCACCTCTTCTTGATGGGCTCACAACACATCCCAACTCAGCTGTGCTGCATACAGGCTGTGTCGTTCACATGTCCAAACAGCATACAGGTATCCTCAACTTTGCGAGTGCCAATGCAGATCGCTGACGTGGCGATGTGCCTGCCATGAACGTGCAACGGGATCGGTAAGCACTTTTCTGCGAAGTCAATCGTTGAGCTGGCATTAGTTATGTAGTTTGCTACGTGAGGGGCGAATAGGAAGCATCTGCGAATTATGCTCTGAAAACTCTTGTTCAAGGGTCTAAAATTCACGCCTATAATCCACCTTTGAGGTCCGTTTTTGGTACCATCACCCGGTTATGTATCGAGGCGCTGGTCGATGCCGCACTTTGCTATTAATTCAGCAAATTATACACCTGCCGCCCATCCTTCTTTTCATGCTGTGGTGGCGTCTAACGCCGCAGAACAAAGTTTGGGGCTAATCCATGAAGGAGCTAAATACGATGCAGTGGACAACTGGCATCCGGCCAACCTGCTGGCCGCTTGTAATAATGTAGCGCATCCATAAGCTCCTCGATATTTGCTTATTCTTGAATTCTAAAGAAGAATCACGCAATAAGGTACCAGTCGCAGAGCCACTTAGACGCAATGGATGCTCAGAACCGCCTGCTTCATCTTGCTGAGGTGCTGATTCTACCTTGCTTACCTTAGGGGAAACGAGCGTTGCTCAAAAAATCAAGAGTTCTTTCTTCCTAGAACTTCCTGGCACACTACTATGCGAAGTGGATCGCCAATCGGCCAATGAAAGCTTTGCGCACTTGTCCATCCCTATGACCATCATGCTTTTTTGGTGAACATGGCCCCATTGAGGCATCCGTAAGTACTCTATCAGCTGATATATAACGCCTTTTGATCAGATATGGAGCTGCTTAGTTCACATTCGCATTCAGGCCCTGCCTCTTGCACGCCAGAAGGCGTGCTATTGTCTGCTTCCATTATGACTCTTGTCAAAAAGCCTCAAAGTATTAAGCTACCACATGCCTTGATTGAAACCATAAACCTGCTGCAGGGGAACCCGGGGAACAGCTTGATCGAAATGACGCGCTGCGACTTTACTAACTGTCATGCTTTATGTACGGTCTCCGTAAGACACTAAACTCCAAATTCGATACAAACTTCATAGAAAGTCATTCCATAACGTTCACGAAGTGCTCCCTCCTTTCCCTATCCGCCACCATCAAGGTTCGAGTACTGGGGCAGCGAGGCAGCAACGCTACGAATGGCTGCACGTTTAATGCACTCTGAGCATCCGCCGCCAGCTGCACATAGCACCTGGGGCAGACACACACAATTTTGCGTCTTCTTGAATCAGGCCAACGCTATTATGAGAATAGATAAGATAGACAAACAGGCAAACGCACAAGTAAAATCTTTACTCATGCGTGATTAAACATGACTGTTTAGTAGAAAGTGCCAAAGTGCGGCTTAACCCACAATCAACGATGTCTCTCATATTCTGCAGTCAAGCTGGAGGAGCCTCCTCTAGAAGCTAAAGTCAAAATATTTACAAATGCAGACCTAATCGTAACTTAATCTATGTGCTCTAAAATGCACAAGCATGGACAGAAGAATCTAGTTTAAGCATCCCCAAGTGGATGTAGGCGTCAGCTCCCATGGTGTCGCCGTGTGCAGATGGACCTGCACTTGACCAAAGGCGCATTCCTAAGCGATCAGTCCTTGTGCCCACGTAGGTAAGCAGGAAGGACCGCACCACACACTGTCCTAATATATCGACCCCTAAAAAAGCTTGGGCTCTAATACTGAAGAGGTGCAAGACAGCGCCAAGCATGTTTTTTTACCCCAGAAAACAGTCGCTCTGATATGGAAGCCCATTCTTCACACCCGCATAAGCTTTTTACAAAAGGGCCCAGCTTTAAGACATAGGATCCGTTCCTGTTCATTAAATCGTAGGAGGTTCATGGCTATGAATGTATAGAGAGAGCTTTGCTGCATTGTTGCCCTCCTCAACTCGGCTGTGCCCCCAAGTCGTAAATCAAGTGCTCGGAACTTGAAAAGGAGGGAGCGATGAGAAGAGTCAGGGGTTTCATTAAAATACAGAAGCAGTCGATATAAGAACTCGCTTGGAATCTTCAGACCACGAGTTGATAAGCCGCAAGAGGGTTCTCGCAGCCTTGGTGACCACCACGAAGTCTCCCTCGGGGACTGTGTCCATTGTCTCGGCTACTTCCTTGAATGCACTTCTGGCTATTTCCATGGCCTCCTGACGTTCGCCTAATTGCTGGTGAAGGAAGGAAACGTAACTCACCACAGCATCAATGCGCAGCGTGTGGTAGGGGGGCAGATCTTCTGAAGGGCACGTAAAAATGCGAATGCGCACAGCCACTTCTGAGACACTTGTGGTCGCTTTCTGTGTATCTCCCGACACACTGGAAGGTGAGCAGGTCTTCCGCTCAAGCGCATGTTCAGGTCTCTCTTTAAACGTGGATGTATGACGCAAATGAGAAGGAAAGATAGCCAACGACAGAGAATGTGGAGGCAGGAAAGGGATGCGAGAGGGGAGGAAGTTAGGACCACTTGAAGGGAGCAAACATCATCTTCTATAAAGTTTCAGTGCACAGAAGGCACCAACAGCAGCCTTCGTGTAGCACAATAGCCCCAAGTTGCGGTGAAGGGCCTAGTTAGCTGGATTGCTCCCTCGATATCGTACCTGAAATTCCACTTAGACCACCAGCTAGGTACCCAGCAAACTGGTAGGCTGTCTACGCTTAACTAATGCAGTGGACTACAGAACGCGCTAGCGCAGCCCATGTGAACGCTGGTGGCTGCGCACTTGAGCAGTAAAGGCTATATCTAACTAGCTAGTCCGCAGTCGTCGGCTAGAGTGCCGCCTACCCCGCCAGTACGTTTTCTATCCGCTAAAGCATGGACCTTACTTTGCGCTGTCTCCATAGCTGCCTTGAAGTGTTTGACGGCAAGGTCCTCGCACTGATAAGCAGCGACTCCTTCGCAAAACTCCAAAAGGAAACGGAATATGGTGCCTAGAGTCTGGTTGTAGAAGATCCGCGTAGTGGAGAAGGCCGCGGGAAGGGAGAGGCAATGGCTGGCCACGGCGACGAGCAGCTCGCAGTGGCGCAAGATCTTGTCTTTCACCTCTGCCCTGCAGAAAAGGCACGAACCGAATTGGACAGAAATGACGGGTTTACTGTGTTCAATTGAATCGAGCCAGCTGACTTCACGCCAGCACACCGATTAGCGTTTGCACTGGCGAGGCGCACAAATAGGAACTTCGACCGTGACGATGAACGCCAAAAGCCATGCATGCACAGGGGCTTTTAAGCCGCCTTCCTGTGTCTGGAACCTGCACGCGAATCCCAATGCCCCCAAATGCTGAGACCTTCTAAGGGCTTCTACTTCATGTCCAAGCGCCAAGAGCCCTTAATACAGCTGTGTTTTGAGTCGTAATAACCTCCAGAGGGAACTCTTGGCAGCACACGCAAGGGGGCTGCTGCAAAAGATGTACTCATTAGCAGCCTTACTTTTGTGCCAACACTTCTCTTTGGATCGCCCTCCTTATTCCCACTGGGTGGTTCAAATCGGCTTCGTTTGACATATTCCCCAAGCGGTTCCACTGACTGGCGAGGGAAGATAAAAGGGAGTCAATGCACTGGCGCACTGCTTTCCACTCCTGCTCGGACAAGTCTCGGCCTGCAGAAGCAGTGACAGTAGACAGGATCGGCAACTGAGGATGCAGAAGACTGTGGGTGCTAGACTTATCAGTTGCTGCGCTATGCAGTCGCGGTCATGGCTACAGCAGCGTGCGCAACACGAGCATCGGAAGCAGCAGCAGAAGCCGCACGAGAGCCCAGCGGGGCCTTGTTAGCACACCTTGAAAGAGTTGGCTCCTGATAAGAGTTTTCGCGTAATCCTGGTTGTCCTTATAGCGGTGGCAAGCGGAAGACACAGAGGCCATGAAGACACAGTCCAGTTCAATGGATGGACACCCAGTTGCCCCCAGGGACTCCCGAATCAGCGCTGCGCATTGGCCACATACGTAAAAATGAGTTTAGTGCCTGATTGGACGTTTGAATCAAGGAAGCACACCGATAGGAAGTACGTAAAGAGCATTCGTTGGGCGCTGCATCTGAAGCTTCAGTCGAGAACTCAAAGTGCGAAGCGTGGAGTCCCAGTCTCACACATGGCGGAAGATTCTGAGATGACATTATCGAGTTCCTGATGGGGAATTCCGCTAAAGACCAAAATGCTTTTGGTCATTGCTTCAGGCCCGAAAGTTCCTTCTGGTGGAGCCCAGGACTCTACAGGTGCGCCCTGCTGTTTTGCGGCTGCTCGCTTGTTCATGTCGATGACAAACTTGTGAATATATTTCATGTTCAAGCTACCTGGGCCCGCAGCTGCTGCTGCAGAGGCCTCTCCTGGGTTCACCTTCCCTCCAATCCTTACGGTGCTTTTCTGAGCAGCAGAGCCAACACCTCGGGGAGTGGCCTTAGACGAGGGAGGCTGCAGGCTGCTCCCAGACTCCTGCCATTCTGTAGCAGGAGAGCCCTCCGGGAACTGCGAAACCTGTGAATCGAGGATTCGCGAGGAGTCTTGAGTCATGGAGGCTGCCAGCCTTTGCTGATGCTGCCGGTGGGGTCCTTGAGTCGTCGCATTTTCGGAGGCTCCCAACGGAACAGAGGGCCCTGTGACGCTTTCTTCTTGATTGGACACACCATGAGACCCGAACCAGCGCAGCGGATGCGCTACCCAAGCGAGGCCACGAGGTGTGCCAGGAGGCTCTCCCATAGTGGGCCAGTTGAGGTGTACATACGGCTCAGGGTCACGGGCACAGCCCGCACGGCGTTCTGGTATCGCTGGTTTTCACAACAGAGCTTGCAGTGAAACAGAAACAGAATGAAAGAAGAAAACGTGGGAGGCTTGATGCGCAGGGCTTTCCAGCTCTATGGGTGTTAGCTTTGAGCGAGCTTCTGCATTCAGGGTTCCAAGCCCGCTACGCCCCCTTGCTTTGGCCTACGATCTAGGCTTGAAGGACTACACAGGAGAAGGGAAAACACACGGATAGAAGGTTCAGCCACAGGATACTTTCAATCAGAACCACTGGGGGCCTCAGGGGGCCCCCTATGTTCCCGCGTCCGAAAGTCTCGCCCAGCAGCTGGCCGCTGGCTCAGCCGACTTCGATTGCCCAACCTTTATGAATGAAACGAAAGCATTACGACAACATGCTTGGTATAAAACACGCAATGCTTGTATATCCCATTTTCGGCTTGTTTTGCAGTGTATCCATCATCGCGTTTCCGCGGTCTCGAGATGAACTGGCTGTTACGTTAGCACAGCCAGGAGGTGCAGCGACTTCCTCCCTTCAGTCTCTCTCGCGTCCCCAACTGGCTTCTTTTCCTTATTAAATGCCATAATTATTACGTTGGGAGGCATTGCATGACCACCATAAACTTACCACCACAAATCCCTTGCACATGTGGGCGTTGACAAACGGCTTACGCGATGGGTACCACCACCAACAGGGCAGCAATTCATCTTCCAACTCCAGGCCCTCAAGCACTCCAAATACCTATTTCTGAGTTTCTCGTCATAAGCAGTATTGGATCGAAAGGCGCACAGTCGAAATATCTAAAGGCTGTGGAACGTATATCAGAGCAGCTCTTTTTCGTCCTTCGGGAGCGACTTCCAATGTCGGGCCAAGAGCTTCGCTTGGGCACATCCTGCTGTGCCAGTTATACTTGTTAATACCCAAGTATTTAGGAACTATCCATCTGGTGCTCCTGCTAATGAATGCTTCATGCGGCAAAACAGAGTTGCCTGATAGAAGTGGAATCGATGTTGCGTGCCAAAGTGCGCTATAGCTTGCCAATATGTGTAATTGGGTACACATGAATAGGCGGAGCGTTTAGATGGCGCAGCAACGCCCCTGCACCCTAGCACGCTATTTCGTTCCTTTTTTGCAGAAACCCACCAGGGAGGAAAGGGCGGTAGGGAGAGGGGGAGGGAGCATTTGTTGGACACTTGAGAACTTTCTAGTAGGTTTTGTAATGGGTCAGAGGCTGAAAGACTCTCCCTGAGGGGACCCTTGGTGGGGCGCCACCTTTGCTGGAATAAAGCTCCACGTGAAACCCCATACTCTTGAATGCCGATGGCTGGGCTGCAGAGGAGAAACAGAGGCCATGCAGCTTAACGCTCATAGATTGCAGCAAGTCTGCCGAGCCAAGATGTTGGCATCCAAGTCTCCAGTGGGAGGCCCCGCCGTGCACCTCAGCCTTCCATCGCACAATTCTATCCCACCCCATCCAATTTGCGGGTTTACCAAGCACTATGGAGGGCAAAGGAGATACTGCTGCACCCCTGAGAGAAGCAACTACGCAGGAGTTCTAGGGAGAGATGGCGTACGAGAGAATGAATTCACCTCGAAAGAGGCAAAAAGAGGAGCCTCGCTACAATCGGTGGAGGGAAACAGCACACGAAGGTGCGTAACGGGCCCATACGCCTTCGTGAACAGGGTCAGCCGGGAAGGCGCTGATAGACGAACCTCTACACTATATCCCCGAGGGGCACATGTAGGTGGAATTTACGCGTCCTTCAATGCGCAGGTATATCCATAGACGTACTCAAAACCATGCATCCTTGAAGCCCCTCTAAGCAACAGCAGGCAAAATAAAGACCCGTGCGCTGCCGCTTGTTCAACGCATGCAGATGCATGCACAGAGCTATTGCATGCGATACTGGCGTGCTGCTGCGTAAACGTAATGCCGGCGCGAAATGCAGCAAAGTAAAGCTGCGAAACCTGTGGTTAGAAATAACCATGTTAAAATCACAGAAGGAACGTCTACCCTGCAGGAAAACAAGGTTGTACAGACCTTCGGGAGAGGCGGAAAGTCCACAGTCACAAACTGGAAAGCGGAAAGTTTCTAACTAAATGGGGGACCGCGTCCACAGGGGCGCTAATATCAAATTCGCCTGTTTCTGCTGAAGCAAGTGTAGCTTCTGCGGCTGCTGTTACTAGGGCAGCCAACCACCGGATGCTCCGTATGGCCTTATTTGGACTTTCGGGAGAACAGGGAATGCCTGCTTAAACAGAGCATGCTTACGATGCAAGTTCTCTCTCTACTCAGTGCGCATTAGAACCAACAATGCGTCGCTGTTGCCGCACTAGAAGCGACTAGGAGCATCGGCAATGTGATTTGCTTTTGCCTGCACTGATGGGTGCCCGGTGAAACGCACACCGCCGTGCACTCCCGAAGAGCCTCACACACAGCAGCGTCCGTCACTCCCAAGGCCCCAAATTCGGAAAACAGCAGAGATGCCTCACAAGGAGCGCATCTTATCGCGCAGTTACGTCTGAGGCTGAACGCCAGCTCTGTCCTAAAGGGGGAGTCGCAGCTGCGGAGGGAGCTGCGGGCAACATAAGGCAAGCTGATACGGAACTGGGGCGAAAGAAACATCGTTGTAGCTGCTTAACACCAGATTACCAGATGGACGAAAGCACATATAGAGAAAGAGGCAGCGCGGAGAGGAAGTCCAAGGAACCACGCACGCGGAAAAGAGTATACGCTAATTCCCTACCAGCCCGCACTTGTTATCCACAGACCCATTTGCACATAATACGTTTACGCAGGGTTGCTTTTTGTACTCATGCAAACGCACCCCTGTATTGAGATGTACGGGCACGCAATGAATACTTAATATATATATATACATGTATACATGTATATTTTCAAAAGTTGCAATACCCATGTAGCGATAGGCAACAAGTTCAGGAGAGGCAAATATTACGTCTGCTCGCAAAACACGCGCTAGTGCATTTCTAGATGTATCTCCCAGTCTCCACAGGTAGATTTGGATACAGGTGCAGACGCATGCACGTAAGAGGAGCACGCGTGTATAAGTATAAAGAGTTCGTCTCGTTTCCAGTAGACTGGCAGCCTCTGTGGAGTGCAAGAAGCCCTGAGTGCAGAGTGGATGTATATCGCAAGGGTGACACACAGTGGGAGTCGCACTGGACACAGCGAGAATAAACGACAGTGCAGGCAGGCAGGCAGGCTGCTTCACCTGGTTGTTTAACATGTATCGTCCGAACAAACACTAAAATCCCCGAGAAGCGCAGCAACCGGAAGGCCCTATCATAGAGAGGCAGCCAGCGTAGCCTGAGGAGGCGGGCAACAGAGACACGCACGTGCGAGCCGCCGCAGAGGCTTATTACCACGCATTAACCTCTGAAACGTCTCGGCTAGCACAAAATTGCTGGCAAGCAAGCACATTTCGAAACACATGCATCAGCAGCATGCATGCATGCACGGCTGTTCTCAACGGACGGTGAGAACGCCCCAAGGCGCGATCCCCCACGCCGGAGTATTTTTTCGCAAAAACACACAGCGCGATCAGCAAACGCCTTCTCAGAGCAACGGCGGCAGGGGAAGACCACAAAAACCTCCATAAAATGCCAACAGAGAGAGAGAGAGAGAGAGAGAGAGAGAGAGAGAGAGAGAGAGAGATAGAGAGAGAGAGAGAGAGAGAGAGAGACTGCACTTACCCCGAACGGATGGCGTCGATGGGCATGCAGGCAAAACACAGCATCTCCGGCCGCACATCAGCCGTGTAAACCCGAAAGAGCAGGAGCGCGAGGGAGGGGTGTGTTACAAGAAATTCGAACGTGGCTTCTTCATTTGCCCATCTGCAGACAAACGCCCAGCGGACGCTGCGCACAGATGCCAACAGGGCATCCGCAAGAAGCCACGCAGGCTCCACCAAAATACAAACACAAGGGTGAGAGGAGAATACGCAGCATCAGCATGGAGGCAGCTCTCTCTGTCTCTCTCTCATGCCTTGCCTTGGATTGAAGGAGTTGTTGGAAACGGCGGGCGTCCTGAAGCTACGAGTGTCTCCTGAAGAGGCAACCAAGCAACAGCCCATGCATGCATGCATCCATCTTGCTGAAGCGAAATACGCGGGAAAATCGTCGCAGTCTCCAGCCGCGGAAAGGCAGCCGTCGAGGTGGCAGCCGCTGGCACTGTCGCGCAGGATATGTCTGTGCCCCCACCATCGCCAGCTCACAAACATCCGCTAATCAGAAAGGTCTCGAAAAAGATGCATCACTGCACACCATCCCCGGAAGCGCCAGACACAGTTATTCATCATCTAGAAAAGCCTCACTCCTGGATCCATGGACAGAAACAGTCACAAACGGATTTTGGAAAGGCTTGCTCCGGCTCGTCAGCTTGTTGAAAGCTGCAGAACGCGTCTTCCGCCCGCCTGTGATGGTTCGAGGCAGCTGGTGGGCAGACACGACCTGAGGCATGTGTGCACCGCACTCACCAAACTCACCCCTCCTTGCATGCACCAAACGCAGATGCGCGGGATACACGGCAATTTGAGGTTTTGCCAAAGCGAAAGAGCGAGAGAAGTAAACCAAACCTCAAGCCTGTGCCAAAGTCAGGGCCCCATACAGAGGAGGCATACAGAGAGGATAGGCGGTGTGTTCAGTGGCGAGAGGTGCGAGCGAAGAGAACAGCGCCTCTAAACGCTGAAAATGCCTGACTGGCAGACAAGCAATCAAGGCTTACTCGAATGGTGACGTGGAGAGCCTGCGGCTCCGTGGGAGTGGCAGCAACGGCATCAAACGGCTGCTGGGAGCTTCTGAGGATAGGGGGCTTTAAAACATAACCTCCATGTGCCCCGCCATTCTCCTGAAATCTGTTTGTAAACGCATGCCGCAGCATCGCATAAGAAAGTGGGCGAGGCCCTAAAAAGCCGCATCCACGAAAGAGGTATACAAATGCATCGAGCACAGACGCAGGAGGCAGAGAGTAAAGACGCATGTGCACTGGCGATTCGGGCGAATGCATCATGCTGCATGCATCATGCTGCATGCATCATGCTGCATGCATCATGCTGCATGCATCATGCATACAAATAAATTCGTTGCGCCAAGGATTGGATAACAATATATACATAAATATGTATATATGTGTGTATGGATGTGAATACACAGCGTACAGACCCTATCGGAGGAAAACACGACAAGGGGCTTTACGGGATCCTGGAGGTGATGATTTCAGAAGGTTGGTAAGTGGCGCGCGTAGAGAAGGGTAAACAGAGGGAGAATGCATTGCGTAAGGGGGGAAGGCAGCAGACAGGCGAGCAGACAGGCGAGCAGACAGGCGAGTGTCTGTACACCGCAGACGCGGAAAGCGTCGGACCTGCCGTGGTTGAGCATGGTGGCAAGGCCCATACTCTGCAGGTTGAGGGCGACAATCTGCGATCCTAAATTCCAGGAGATCGTAGGATCGAAGTTGGAGGAGGAAAGCCGCGTTCCCGCAGGATAAATGCGCGATAAATACTTTTGGTGGAAGAGGCATCTGCACGACAAGCACGCATGCAGGAGGCAGGTCTATTCAAGTGTACGTACTCCACACGCAAGCAAACTCGCGCATGCAGAAAGCGAACGATACACCTGTAAATTATACATTTGCGTGACCCTACACGTATCCGTGAACCATTGCTTTCTGCACAAAGGCAGAGGCATGCGAGTGGGCAGGCAGCAAGCAGCCAAAAGCTCCGTGCATTCTGCTGCTGCGGGGAAATAGAGGAATGCAGCAAGCAGCCAAAAGCTCCGTGCATTCTGCTGCTGCGGGGAAACAGAGGAATGCAGCCGAGAACTCAGGTTGGCAGTGCTCTCTCTGTTGCAGAAGGTGCTCTTGAGGAAGCTGTCACGTTTGGCGTAGGCTTACAGCTCGAGGGGAGACTGCTTCGCGAGGCGCAGGAGCTTGGACTCGTTCATAGAGCAGATATCCATGGCTGAAACAGGCGTTAAAGACGAACATTCGTAGACAGAGAGAAAGAGTGAGAGACGGGAAACTTTTTGGCACATGGAACCCTCCACGGCGCTTAACAGGGTGCGCGCAGCAGCGGCGAAACAAAAGGGCAGCAGAAGCGCATGCAGAAGAGTCTCCCAATGTAAATCAAGGGGCAGTGTATAGTTCCTCCTAACGAAGCTCCTGGTTCAGCGCGTGTGTGTGCCCTGCTACTTAGGGCGTTTGCTCTGCCGTCTTCAAGAACCCACGATTTCTAGGTTGATCGAATCCCCTCAGTTTTCGTCCCCTAAGACATATATTTCTCTGGAACTGCGAAAAGGGAGACAGAGGAGAAAAACACCGGGAGGCATGCATGCATACAGTGTGCATGCAGTGTGCGTGCAGTCTGTGCAGATGCAAACGCCGACGTTGAGCAGCATGCGCAGCAAGCGCAGTCGAGGTCGCTGCGGCAGCTGCTGCAAGCAAAAGCAGCTGGCTACACACGCCTAGAGCAAGCCCCTCTCTGCAGCCTCCACGGCAAGACTGTACCGCTTTGAGCTTCTCTAATTTGGCAGCTGCTCTCTCCGCTTTCGCGTCGATCGCTGCCTCAGTGCCACCGCTTATTCCGTTGGGGGGAACTGCTGGTGATGGGGAAGCTGCTGCTGCCAGAGGGGGGGGGTGCGCAGCTGCGGAAGAAGCTGCAGTGTGAGAGGCCCCCCCCCCAGAAGCAGCTACACCTGAGGATGCAGTCAACCCCGCGCTGGCAAACGCCTCGCCAGAAACATTCTCGTTTGCACGCAGAAAACTCCTCGCAAGATTCGCACTCTCCAGTTCTTGAGCCAACTGGATTTCTAGGGCATCCATCTGCAGCAGGTTTTAGGAAAAAAATCGACCACACAGACGGCAACAGGCACACACACACATACACATACACATACATACACACACACATACACATACACACACATACACATACACCTTCCTCTATTATCATTTGAGAGGGATACCACCCGCTTCGTTCCGTAGTAGAAGCAGGCACAGGCAGCACTTCGACTCCCCATGCAACGCGCATGCGTCCTCTAAGCGCCGCAAGACGTGGCAGCAACCGACATACAAACGACTGCAGCAGCAGCAGCAGCGGCAGTAGCACTGCCACCATCAAAACTCGTCCGATACATGTACCAACAGCAGAACGCTAGAGAGAAAGAGAGAAATAGAGAAAGAAATAGAAAAAGAGAGACAGAGAGAGAAAGCAAGAAAGAGCGCTTACTTTGATATCCTCCTCGTCTCCCTCTTCTATGAACTCGCCGAGTTCATTGAGTACCTTGCTTTTGATTAGAAAACACCCCAACAAGCGTTCAGGAGAAGGCAGTGGCGTTGTAGGGTCTGCACCACACAAGTGCGCATCTACAGCTCTTAGAAACTCGCATGTTCTCCTTCTTCCTCTCCGCCTCGAATCGAGCGAGCAGCCAAAGGAAAAGGGATGTGGTGTCTCGAGCAAAGGGAAGATTTGTGGGCGACTCTAGCAGCTGCTGTACAACGGCCCTTGAGCAAAAAAGGTGCCGTATCAGCACAACAAGCGTGGAAGGGAGAAAAGAGAGAGAAAAGCAGCTTTCCCCCCGACTCCTCTCCTGGGGAGAAAGAGAGAGAGACAGAAGCAGCCTTCCCTCCGACTCCTCTCCTCCTCCCCTGGAGCTGCTGCTGCACGAGGTTTCGTGACTGCGCGCTTACGACATCGGTAGACGGAATCTCCAAGGATTTCACTGATGATTTCCGTGATTCGCGCCTTCTGATTTGTCGTGCAGTGCATCTCTAGAGACAGAATAATAGGCAATCGTGAGCGCTGCAGCACCAGCAGCAACACGTCCGATTTCGCCTTCCATGCAAAGATTAAACACACGTGCCTCCAGCCCCTCCCCTCTCTCCGCGCAGCCGCACGCATAGCAGCAAGAAAAAATCACACTAAGACGCTGAGCAAAGCTCCTCCTCACGCATGGCGCAGACGCAGACACCACAGCCGCATAGCCGACACCGCAAGGAAAGGCCCCCTTGCTGCCGCGTCTGTCTCCTTTCACATTGCAGAGCGAAAAAAACAATAAACCCCCTCTCCCCCGTCAGACACAAAGCAGTGTTACCAGCAAAACTTCCCCCTCCCCTCTCTCCCTCTCCCTCCTTCCTGCCATCCAGTCCAAAGGGAGGCCACTATCACGAGGAGAACTAAAAGAGCTTGGAGGATCAAGAAGTGGCGGACGGAAGCCGTCTGTATCTCTCTGTCTATCTGTCTCTGTCTGTCTCTGTCTGTCTGTCTTTGTCTGCCTTTCTGTCTCTCTCTGTCTGTCTGCCTCTCTCTCTGTGTGTCTGCCTCTCTCTCAAAAATATATAACCAGATAGATCATGAGATGCAAGAGAATAATGACTATACCTGAAAGCCATAGTCCTTGCACGCCTGGATCACGTCTCGAAATCGAATTCTGCCAGTCAGCTGGTAACCTCCCACTCCGTGGAAAAGCACAGGCTCGCCATCACCACCATTCCAGCAGTCTAGCTCAACACAGCGACAGCCTGACAGCAGTAAATCGATGTACTGTCCAACTGCGCTACGACCAACAACCTGCAGCGCCCACCGCATTGCTGTAGCAGAAGCAGAAAATGCACTTGGGATAAAAACATCACCCGCCGCATGCAGACCCCATGCAATCAATAGACGCGCGTGGAAGACAGCTAGGCAGCGCTTCCAAAACACCAGCAGTGCAGCAAGAACGACGGCTGCAGACTGCACCTGATCGCCGCAAAGATACGTGTTGTGTGAGGAGTTGATCCAGTAATCGCAGAGTGGGTGGGAAAGCGACTGATGCAGCATCTGCCGTTGAGGATCCATGAGAGAATTGGCAGAAGAACAGAGCAACGTATTAAAGCCAAGAAGCGTCAAGCACACCCCCAGATCCTGCGCATGCGCAAACATGAGCCGCTGATGGTTTCTCACTACCATCTAGGAGTGCAGCCACCATGGTGAGGCTGCACTACTCCTCACCCTCTTCCCCTCCTCCCTCCTCTCTGCTATCGCTTTACGTCGGGGAATGCCAACGAGGAAAGGAAAGGGCGACGCATGCTACAAGGTGGGGTTGCGCCTCAAACACGCAGCCTAAGCACACCTGCTCCCATAGGCACATATACACATACATACATACATATATACATACACATGTACATACATACATATATACATACATACATATATACATACATATATACATACATACACATATATACATTCGTACATATACACATATACATGTATATATACACATACGCATATATCTGCATATACAATGTATATACACACATATATACATACATGCATACATATATACATACATACACACATACATATGTACATACATACATATATACATACATACATATATACATACATACATGCATACATGCATGTACATACACCCCAGACCCTATGCAGCCCTCCGACGCCTTACGGCGTACCGGCCGCGTCTGTTTGTAAGCGTCGTTGGCAGCTCTGAAGGCTTCGAGTTCCTCCCTGATTGCTCGCGGTGTATCGACGCCCTGCACTTCCCTCAAAAATCGCGAATAGCCTGCAGGCACAGTGCAAAAGGCAGGGGCAGCAGCAGGAGGCAGGCAGGTGTATGTACTCCACTCCAGCAGCGAGGAGGAGGCGCACACGCGAGGAAACGCCTGTCGCAGCAAAGCACAGCCATAACAGCAGCAGCACCTTCCTCGGAAATAAAGGCCTCAGTAGGGAGTTTAAAGAGGTCGAAATACAGCTGAATGTCGGGTTGCACCAACAGCTCCCGCATCATCTGCAGCACATACACACACACATACACATGCACATACACGCATACATATACACACATACACATACACATACATACACACATACACACACACATACACATACACATACACACATACACATACACACATACACATACATACACACATACACACACACATACACACATACATACACATACACATACACACATACACACACACATACACATACACACATACACATACACACATACACACACACATACACATACACATACACATACACATACACACTTTAAACCCTCAAATTCCCCCACCCTAAACCGCAGAGAGCCACGCCAAGGAGAAGAAGGCCTTTGCTTGTGTTTCCAGATCTGTGACGCTCACCCCACAGCGCTGCCGTCGCAGCTGCCAACTGAAAGGCATCGCTAATACACCCTGATGCTAATCCCCTGTATAACCAGTTTACTCCCTGCTCCTCATACAGTGCCCTACCAAGCAGAGAAGCCTCAACAAGCCTCCTGCGCTAGAGCGAGACCACTGCATCAACTGCTTCTCCCCAGGCAGAAGCACTATGCCCCTACACCCCCTCGTTCGAGGACGGCTCACGCGCAGACTTGCGAGCATTTCGCTAGCTGCTCGAAGCTGTCCACTTTTCACACGGGAAAAAAACCCGTGAGTGCGGAGGTGAAGAATGCAGAGCTGCCTCGCCAACTCGCTACGCACGAAGCGCCAGCGCTGGCTAGCAATCCACGTGTGCTTTCGCGTATATTGTATACGCATGTAAATGTGTGTGTATATGCGTGTACGTATGTATGGATGTATGTATGTATATAATTGTGTGTATATGAATGTGTATGTATGTATGTGTGTATGTAATTGTGTGTGTATGTATATGCATATACGCATTTGTGTATATATATATGCACTTGTATGTGTGTGTAGCTGCCTGCACCTGTTTGAAGTCGTGGAAGTCTAAAGCGTCGACGCCCTGTGCTTCATAGGCTTTGAAGAAATACTCTTGATACCGAGGATCAAGAGGGACGTTGAGGCGAGTGAGCAGCTTATCGAGTGTGCTGACGTCGAATCGGCCTGAAGGATCGTTGCGAGAGGGTGAAGAGACAGCAGAAGAAGGCGTAAAAAGAGCACAGCGGAGGCGACCCTTCAGGGGGAGGGGGAGGGCAAAGGGAATGCAGAGTGCTCAAGCCCCCTTGAGGAAGAGACAGAAAAGAAGGCGTATTTTATACAGGGAGAGAGATCAGATCAGGCAAAGCCGTGGGCACTGCCTTCCCAATGGATAAGCTGAGAAAGAAGCGTGTAGGCATACACACACAGAGGCACGCACAGAAAGTGGAAAGAAGGACCTTTTTCTCAAGAGCCTCGAAGAGAGCCAAGAATTACCGTGAGCATCCTTCTGCGCGAGCTGCCACTCCAGCGCAATAAGATCGCCTGTAGGGTTAGCGCAGCGTCCTCTCAGTGCCTTGTCGTGCAACAGCAGCAACCCCTTAATCCACAGACTCCAAGCCTGCGTTCACACGAGTGCAGCATGCGGCGAGACTGCTGCCTTGCATTCGTTCAGCGGCCTTTTTTACAGACAGCAGCACGCGCCACAGGAAGGCGGAAAAGGATCGCCAACGCACCACGCCAGCGCCTCTCTAGATGACGCAGAAAGCGAACGGCAAGAGACTTCATCGAGGCTGCAGAAGGGGTTTCAAAAAGATCGTTTGAGCTCCAAGGAAATCTCAAAACGCCTACCTCGCGAGAGCTGCATGCGACACGAACAGTGCGAGATCCCCGAATTTCAATTGCCATATCTTTTTCGGGCTTATTCTGAGCAAGCCAAACGCAAAGGGAGAGAAAAATACATATATATATAGATATATATATATATATGTATAACAGCACTTCACAAACACACCGAGCACAACGATGAACAGCTCCACCCCATCACCACGGCCTTCTAGCAACTGCAGTGACTGCAGTGACAGCACAAACTGCAGTGACAGCACAAACTGCAGTGTCAGCAGCAACTGCAGTGACAGCACAAACTGCAGTGACAGCACAAACTGCAGTGACAGCACAAACTGCAGTGACAGCAGCACGGCCTTTTGGCAACTGCAGTGTCAGCAGCAGCACGAGCAGCAGCAGCAAGAGCAGCAACTGCAGTGTCAGCAGCAACTGCAGTGACAGCAGCAGCAAGAGCAGCAACTGCAGTGACAGCAGCACGGCCTTTTGGCAACTGCAGTGACAGCACGAGCACGAGCAGCAGCAGCAAGAGCAGCAACTGCAGTGTCAGCAGCAGCACGAGCAGCAGCAGCAGCAGCAAGAGCAGCAACTGCAGTGACAGCAGCGGCACGAGCAGCAGCAACAGCAGCAAGAGCAGCAACTGCAGCGACAGCAGTGTTGGCTACCCTCCAAAAGTCGGAGTCTTCTCCAGGAGTAATGCGCTGCACACTATCCAGGTAAACTGCAGAACACACGCTGGTGACACTTCGAGCGAGAATTTTACACCGCAAACTCTCTCTCTCTCTCCTGAAGACATCTACTTGTGAAGGCGCACGCATGCAAAGCTTGCAGAGTGGCTGCAGGAGAGTCGGATCGGGAGAGTCTGAAGATTACTCGTTGTTTGCATCGAAGGCTTGTTAGGAGACTCCCACTGAAGAGCCAGACTATCCTTGTCCACTTTGAAATGCCTCTTGTGGGGTCTGGTGAAGCTTCTCTTACACCATTTCACTAAGTAACCCCCACGGCAAACCTAAAGCGATGAAGCACAGCAACAGCAGCAATGAGTGAGGATGAAGCAGCTGCTGCAGCAACGAGTGAGGATGAAGCAGCTGCTGCAGCAACGAGAAGCAACAATGAAGCGGGAGCAGGTGCTGCAGCAATGAGAAGCAGCAATGAGAAGCAACAATGAAGCAGGAGCAGCTGCTGCAGCAATGAGAAGCAACAATGAAGCAGCTGCTGCAGCAATGAGAAGCAACAATGAGGCGGGAGCAGCTGCTGCAGCAATGAGAAGCAGCAATGAAGCAGCTGCTGCAGCAATGAGAAGCAGCAATGAAGCAGCTGCTGCAGCAATGAGAAGCAACAATGAAGCAGCTGCTGCAGCAATGAGAAGCAGCAATGAAGCAGCTGCTGCAGCAATGAGAAGCAACAATGAAGCAGCTGCTGCAGCAATGAGAAGCAACAATGAAGCAGCTGCTGCAGCAATGAGAAGCAACAATGAAGCAGCTGCTGCAGCAATGAGAAGCAACAATGAAGCAGCTGCTGCAGCAATGGTATGCCGCATCTGCACTTGAGGGAGGGCTCATAGCCAGCGTCTAAGCCAACGAGAGAGTTGCTTGTGCAGCTCCAGTGACATCCCTAATGGTATATCAGAGCAACGACAGAAGCGAAGATCGAAGCTTCGCATGCAGCAGCAGCAGCCGACGCACAGCCTTACCGTGGCAACGGCCAAGGAACTGTCGATATCTCTGAGTTTGTGTCGCAGCCTTTCGCTCCACACAACACCAGGGGTCCTCGGAGAGAGTCTCTGCTGCTTGTGAAGCTGGAATACTCCCCAGTGTCGATTGTGCTGGAAGTGATGCCTCTGTGGCTGTTGTTGTTGCTGCTGCTCTTCTGCCTCCTCCTGCTCCTCCTGCTCCTCCTCCCCGAGATGTCGCGGAAGCTCGACGTCGGGGTAGGCAGTATTAGTTGCTGCACGCCAGTCTGCAGCAGCAGGCAGCGAGTGATCCATCCTGCCACGCGCTCTTGCTGTTGATGGTGTACGTACACTGCCCTTCCTTCTGCCTGCTGCTACACACGTGACGAGGCAGGAGGGGAGCAGCAGCAGCAGCAGCAGCAGGGGAGACTGCTGCTGCTGCTGCTGCTGCTGCTGCTGCTAGGCCCGCAACTCCGGGTGGGGTTGCTTCTGCGTATGCGAAAAACTCACGTGTCTGGGGGCCCCCTAACCCCCACTCTTGGGGGCCCCTGCAGCCGCTGCTCCAGCGTGGCTATTGCAGCAGCAGCTGATTTTGCTGCTGTTGCTAATGTTGTTGTTGCTGAGGCTACTGATGTTCCTGATGTGACTGCAGCTGCTGCAGCTGCTGCTGCAGCTGCTGCAGCTGCTGCTGCTCCTGCTACCGCCCTCCCCAATCGCAGTTGCTGCCGCTCGCGCCTCAGAAATGGGAAGGCAGAGCGTTGTAAATCCGCTACAGAAACAGCTGGTAGAAAAGGGGGCGTAGACTCGAGGCTGCTGTTGCTGTTGCCGCGTTCAGGGCACCTCTTCTCCAGTATGTTTGACACGGCAGCCACGGAGCAGCAGCAGCGCGCGTGAAGGGGATCGCTTGGATAACGAAAAAAGCTTTTTTAGCCCCTTTCCCAGGATGTGCGTCATTTCGCTCTTCTGGCGAGGAGCAGGAGGCAAATTCGTGAGCACCCGTCTCAATGACTCGAGGGGCCCCCCAAAGCCAGCAGTTGCTGGAAGCCGCGCAGGGTACGACGGGGGGCCCCCTCCGCTGTAGCGGCAAAACGTGTGCGTTAGGAGAAAGCCACTATTTAGACTCGGCTCTCATTTGCTTGAGGGAGAAAGGCCTCTATGGGAGGGTTCGACACGTTCTCAGGTGGGGGTGTCATACAGACGCAGTTTTGCCCGATCGCTGAGCGCCGCATCAGCCATCTCTCCGGGAGCCGCGCGTATTTTCGCCTTGTCTTTCTTCTCCGTCCGTGTATTCCTCCTGCAGGAACACCCAGTTGGGCTTTTGCATTTCTGCTTCTGGAGCCGCTGCAGAATTCGCTGCGCACGACGCCATGGAGGTGTCTGAACAGCTCAAATGCCGTCGACCTGGCTGTGGTCAGTCCTTCAGTGCAAGTAGCAACAGGGAAGACGCATGCAGACACCACAAGGTGCGCTAGAGCTTCGGATGGCGTTGCTGGTGGTTTTCCTGCGCCGCTGCTGCTGCTTCGGGGAGTCGGAGGCTGTCTCCCTCGCGCTTTCGTCCGTTAGGTGCCTCGATACAGTCGAGCAGCCATTCCGTCCACAGGGGGGAACAGCTAGCGAGCTTGCTGCGGTTCTCGCATGCCATCCCTTGTGGCAGTTGGTGGCTCCTACTCCTGCTGCAGCGGCTGCCTCTCTTCCACGATGGCGTGAAGTGCTGGCCGTGCTGCGAGAAAGAGGCGTGGGACTGGGAAACCTTCATGAAGATTGAAGGTAAAAAGGCTCACCCTCGTGCATGCACTGTGGCGACAACCTTTACAGTCTTCAAACACACACCTCTCCGCTGCAGTAGCCGGAAACGAGGCTCTGCGTCGCACTTTAGCCAGCCCGCAAAAAGCACCATCGCCATCGCCTGCGGATGCGATGCATGCGACTTCTCAAGGGAAGTGCTGCTGCTGACCCCTCAGCAGCTTAAAAGCACGCGCAGCTTTTGGACTGCACACATGCATTCATATATATAAATGCATATACATATATATATGCACACATACACACATGTGTGCATATACATATATATATGCACACATACACACATGTGTGCATATACATATATATACACATACACACAAATGCATATATATATGCACACATACACACAAATGCATATACATACATATACACACATACACACAAATGCATATACATATATATATGCACACATACACACAAATGCATATACATATATATATACACACATACACACAAATGCATATACATATATATGCACACATACACACAAATGCATATATACATATATATATGCACACATACACACAAATACATATATATATACACATACACACAAATGCATATACATATATATACACACATACACACATGTGTGCATATACATATATATATATGCGCACATACACACAAATGCATATATACATATATATATATGCACACATACACACAAATGCATATACATATATATATACACACATACACACAAATGCATATATATATACACATACACACAAATGCATATACATATATATACACACATACACACAAATGCATATATATATATATATACCTCCTTCATGCATGCGTTTTCTGTCTGCAGGCTGCGCCTTAGGGCCTCACAGCGAAGCCCCACCGCAGGCTTCGCTGGCAGCAAGCGGAGCTGCTGCTGCTGCTGCTGCTGCATCGACGACGACGAAGGCAGCCGTTGATGCAACTGCTGCGACAGCTCCGCGCAGCATAGAGGACTTTAATAAGCAGTGGGGGAAACAAAAGCAGGAGGAGGAGAAGAAGAAGCAGCAGCAGCAGCACTCCCTAGATGGACAGCATTCCACTCAACACGTCTGTTATATCCCTTCGAAATTTTGTGTGGTGGCCTATGAAACGCTGGTGACAACAGCCTTTTGTTTACTCTGGAGCGCGTATACACAAAAACACACACAAAAAACACTCACAAAAACGCACACAAGACACACACAAAACACGCAAAAACACGCAGACAAAAACACACACAAAACACACATACACACACAAATACACATACACACACAAACACACAAAAAGCACACAAAAACCCACACAAAAACCCACACAAAAACACTCACAAAAACACACACACATACACACACATACACGCAAAAACACACACAAAAACACTCACAAAAACACACACAAAAACACTCACAAAAACACGCACAAACACATACACACAAAAACACACACAAAAACACACACACATGCACACAAAAACACACACATATGCACACACAAAACACTCACAATAACACACACACATACACACAAACACACACAAAAACACACACAAACACACACGATCTGATGCTGAGAGGCGTCTGCCTGCGCAGCGAAAACGCGTCTGTGCTGCCTCCCATGCTGCGCTGCGCTTCGCGTGCTGCAGGCGGAAGTTCCTTGGGTAGGAAATGTCTCAAAGAGTAGCTTTCTTTGCGACACATGGATCGCCAGCAGCCTCACCCCTAGCAGTAGCATTTTTATCCCAACAACTTTTGAGGAAGAACAGATATTCTGCGCCTGCATGCCTTCAGGTGTCTGCTGAGGGCTTCCACCAGTGTACTAACAAGGGTTGCAACAAAGCCTACCTGCCTAAGGATAATGATGAGAAGGCGTGCAGGTAAGATCTTGCTTTTCTTCAGACTGCTCACTTTCCAACTGTTGGCGCTCATCTTCATGCCTTTGGCCTTGCTGCGGGTTGCTCCGCTTGCGTGCACATTTATACATACACACATCTATGTACACATACATGTACATACATGGACGTAAACATATGCATACATATACGTATACATACAGATGCACATACGTACATATACATTTGCATACTTATACACATAATACATGTACATACATATAATACATAGACCTATACGTACATAACCTATGCAACGTATATATACATGTAACACGTAGACTCATACAATGTATATATAAATCTACACTTCCATACTCCCCATATGCATGTACATACAATTTTACAAGCATAGAAGCGCAGCAATCGCCAGACTCTCTGTTATTGCTGCAGCTATCACCCTGGGAACCCCACGTTTCACGACGGGTGCAAGAGCTGGAGTTGCTGTGGCGGGAAGGCGTATGACTGGGACGAATTTATGAAGCTGCCGACGTGCAGGATCGGTAAGTATTGCATTGGAATCTGATCGACTAGGCCGCTAGCGAAAGATCGCGACATCTAAGAACGGCGCGGCAGGCACCTCCCGCAGCAGCCAGTCATGGAGCGGGTAGGCAGTGTTTTCTTCTGCAGCTTCCCTCGAGCTTAAAAGGGAGCATGCATGCATGCATGTCTTACAACTCGTGTTTTTTTTGCTGCAGGTCCGCACATACCCAAGATCGTAAGGGTCCACCCGCAGCCGTAGATCCTTTTTACAGGCAATAGGTTTTTTGCACATGCAGCAGCAGCAGCAGCACTTCGTGCTGCTCCTGCAGCCGCTGCTGCTTCTGCGCTGGAATTGCCAGCAACATATTGGCAGAACAAACGACTGCAGCGGCTGCGCGGCTCAGATCCATTCACAGCCTTGTGTCAAGCATCAACGCGCAGCAGTCGGACGGCTTGCTCGTCTCCCGCCGACGTTGGGGGCAGAGGCATACGCCTTTAGAGGGAGCTCAGATTGAGGCTCTGGGCGTATGGCGTTCGCGAGCAGCAATTAGCAAGACACGTTGTTCATTGTTAGCACTAGGCCTTCTAAGGGGCATTCCACGCTGGCGAGGCTGCTTGCGCGTTGGTCCTACCGACGTGCTGAGGCGGCTAGACTGGCTGCGTTTCCTCTTCTGTGTGCCTCTTGGCTAGGGATAGTTAGTGGACGCTGCTACATACGCGCCCGTCCCTCTTAGTGAGCCTATTAAAGGGCTTCCTTTTTGATTAGCCTCTAGCGTGCTTCTAGTTGCTAGAAAAACTGCCACACATGCCGTGGATCTCTAGATGCACATACACATACACATACACACATACCTACATACACACACACCTACATACATACACACACACCTACATACACACACATACAGAGCTCAGTTCGCTCTGCCTTTTTCACGGAAGAGGCAAGACACCTTCCTTGAAGGGACTGCTACTACTGCACGTGAGGACCTTTCCTGCGGCACAACTGGGTGCAGCTGCGTTTACGGCCAGTACACGGCAAGAAATTAAAGGCTTCCGATTTGCTTGAGTTTTTCGCAAAAGGGGGGCGTTGGCAGCTGCCCTTTCTGCTGCTCACCCTGCGGCTGCTGCCGACGGGTGCCAACGACATCAGTGAGCAAAACTCCCGTGGTCTGCCTCACCAGCTGTACCTGCAGCACAGGCAGAGCGCTCGCGCAAACAGGGGTGGAAGCCGCGTGCTGGCTGCTTCTCTTCTGTGCATGCAAACGAAAAGTTCATTTCACCAGTGCTCGAGGAGGAGGCTTGTTTCGCGTTATTCGCACTTACTGTGGGCGTAGCGTCGCTCGAGATCCATAGAAAGGCAGCGCTGCCAGGCCTGTGGAAGACTCCCGTGCAGGCTTCTTCTCCGCATGCACTGCTGCAGCAATGCACAGGAGTCTCTGGAATGGGGTGCTCTGCGGCAAGAGGGGGGGAGCAACGGCCGTCGCTGTTGCCAGATATCGGATACGTCGTTGGCAGGGGAGGCGAGGCGTCGTCTTCTGCCGCTGTTGCGCTTTCTTCTTCTCCGGGCAGACGCTGCTGCTGGCTTGGCTTGTCATGGCAGTGCGTGTCGTCGTCTCCTGCTGCTGCGGGAGAAGGAGAGGAGCTCGAAACGCCGGTAGAGTCGCCGCAGTATCGCCGACATTTCCTGCGAACGCTGTTTCGCCCCTTCCTAAGGCAACAAGCGCTCTCGCTGCTCGCGGGGAGCAAAGCACCATTAGGAGCAGTGGTAGAGGGGGGAACGGCCTCCTGCGCATGCTGCTCGTCAGGTTGCAGCAGCAGCAAGCGATCGTTGAGGCTGCCACAGCACCGCAGAGGCAAGGCACGCGAGAGTCGAGGGCTCCCAGCGGCTGCTGCGGGGGGAGTACCAGCTGCTGCTGCAACAGAAGCAGCCATGCTCCACGAGATGTCTCCCCCTGAGGCGCTCACGGGCAGTCTCTCGCTGCCTCTGCAACACGTGCAGCGCATGCAGCTGCCGACGGGGATTCTGCATGTGCTGCACGAGCAGCTGGCATCGAGGCTGCTTCCGAAGGGGGGGACGCTGCCGGCAGATAAAGAAGTCTTCGAACTCGGTGAAAAGTCTGCATGCATGCAGTGACCAGCCTAGTGCGCAAGCACACCCTCACGCTGAATGTGGCGTGTCGGTGTTGTGTTACAGCATCTACGAAAGGGCCGCCTTTTCAGCGCATGCAGAGAGAGAGAGAGAGAGCCGCCTCCTGCTCCTCCTCCTTACGCACAAAGACACTTCCACGCATCCACCCGTCTCCAGACACTGCACGATGCAGCACGCCCCTTCCAAGCAGCCTGGAGCTGTCTTCTATACTCTAGCAAAAGCAGACTCACTGGAAGCATCATCGGGAGCCAAAAACGCGCAGAGTTTCTCTGCACTAGCAGCTGCAGCTGCTGCAGCAGCATCATCGTGCTTGCGCTTCATGGACTGCTTCCGCTGCAGCCGAGGCTGCTGCTCGCCCCCCCTAAAAAACGCTGTTTCTCTGCTTCTGAGTGTCGTCGTAGAGGCTGTGGCTTCAAAGTCGGCACTGCCTGGATCCGACGTCGTCACCCCTGCGGGTGCCAGTTTACCCGCTGCTGCGTCTACAGCTTTTCTGCCCGCTTCTGCAAGTTCACAGGGAAGAGACTCCTTGGCGCTTGCAGGCATCCCCTCAAAAGCCCTTCCTCTCGCGCTGCAAGACTTTCCCGCCACAGCAGCAGCGTCAGGATCAAAATAATGCAGCGGCATGTCGCTTCGTCTCGTCTCTGGAGGATCTCGAGAGGTCGCCGAAGCCTCTGGTGCCGCAGCAGCAGCCTCTGATGCTGCAGCACCAGCCTCGGATGCTGCAGCAGCAGCCTCGGATGCCGCAGCAGCAGCCTCGGATACTGCAGCCTTGGGAGCTGACATCGCAGCAGTTCGCCTTACCACATGCAGAGGCACTGCTGGTTCTCTCAGCGTTGCACCTGCAGGCGACACCCACAGACAGCAGCGAAGCTTTTTCTCTCCCTGCCATGCCATGCATGCTCCGCTTAGGCAGTTTTTGCTGAAGCTGGATACGCAGAGAATCCTACGGTGCTCCTCGCGCAAAACTCCGCAACTGCACACGTCTTCGCTGGCAAGCAAAACGGAGCAGGAGAGACTGTCTCGCGGCAGGCGCGTCAAGAACCTCTAAAAACAAGGACCATGCCTACCCCCCTTCTTCCCCTTCCCCCCCAATCCTTCCCCGCGAAGCAACATAAACTACTGTCCACTAGGATTTCTAGGAAGAGCAAGAACAGAAGCACCTGCTGCAGCAGAACCGCTGCTTTGAGACGCCTTTCCTCCAGCGGGAAAGAATTCTTGCTGTCTGACGCGCATATTCCAGTTAAGGCCCTTTCTGAGAGACTGCATCCAGAGCTGATCGCTGCATGCGGTATCACGGACTACTAGCGGCAGAGGATACGGCGAAACAGCCACCTCCACGCACATGCCTTGTGTGATCTCTCGCCGTCTGTGCCCGTCTACGGCTACCCATGCCGATCCACGACACTCTGGGGGAACATATACGCGAAGGACGGCAGTGTCGGGGAGGATCAAAGGTCGAAAAGACAGAGAATGCGGGCAGATCGGCGTAAAGAGAATGCAAGGAACCTGCAGCAGTAATACACACATGCGGGCTCACGATTGCAGCAGCAGCAGCGGCAGCAGCAAAACAGGCTTGGTCTCACGCCATCTCGCCACACCCAGCATGATGCATTATTGAGAGGGCTTTGCACGCATTTCCCCCTACGCGTAGAGATGCCGCTTGCATACATACATGCATGCTTGCATGCATGTATGTATATGTGTGTATATATGTAGTTAAATATATAGAGAGAGCAACGAATGGTACTACCTATAGAAATACAGATGTAGAGGCTTCCCACTTCCTAAAATAGCACGTGTCTGCAAAATCAGCGTTTGTAGCCTCTCCATGAGGCGCAGCAGGCCATAAGGGGTTAGGTGCTCGTTTTGTTCTCTTTTTCTTTCCTCCCCCTCGTTTTCTCTTCGTATTTGTCTGTCTGTCTGTGTCTGTCTGTATGTGCGCTTGTGTATTTTTCTGTCTGTGTCTGTATCTGTGCTTGTGTGTTTGTCTGTCTGTCTGTATGTATGTGTGCTTGTGTATTTGTTTCTGTAATTTTCTGTTTCAGTTTTTGTCATTTTCTTTTTCTGCTATTCTCCGTTTCTGTTTTTGTCATTTTCCGTTTCTGTATTTGTTTCTGTCTCCGTTTCTGTTTCTGCATGCATGTGCGTGTGTGCGTGTGCAGTTGCTCTGCAAGCATACCTTGGGGTGAACAATGGATCCCCCTGCGCTCATGCTGTAAGCAGTGCTGCCAGTTGGGGTAGCCACGATTAGGCCATCTGCCGTGACGGTGGTGAAGTATTTGTTACCCAGGTGTACATCCAGCACAGAGACGCAGGAGTAGAGGCCCCTGTCAATGACACATTCATTTGTAGCGACGCAAGACTGAACCAGCTCGCCGTTTGCCGACAGCACACGAATCTCTGCAAGGCCGTTCGCACGCATGCAAAGGGAGGCAAGCGAGCCGCAAACTGCAGCGGCAGCAACACACACGAAAGAGGGTAAAAGAAACACGAGGGGGGAAGTTGGGGGGAGAAAGGCGCAAACAGCGGCATTTTCGAAGGGATAGCAGCAGGGAGCAGCGAGGAGGACACAGAGGGCTACGCAGGGAAAGGAGAAGGAAGGGTAAAGACGACATGACAAAAATCACGCCATGATGATAATAATAAGCTGTTTTTGCATGCGCACTCACGCAATCTGCATCGGAGTGTGACGGCAAAGGGGCCCTGCGCAACTGCCTTTGCAACGGCTTTCATTTCTTTGACCTCGAAGTGAGTGAGGTATCCTAAGCTGCCCATGCTCACACCTGCAGACATACATGCCGTCACGAGGAAAGCCGCGAAAAATAGCGGAAGGACGGGCAGGATGGGCGCAAGTAAGACTTACAAAAATAAGCCTTCTTCGAAGTGCAATCTGGTATAACTGGGCTGGAGCGATACAGAGACACAGAGAGAAAAAGAGAGAAAGAGAGAGCGAGAACCACGGCGTATGCGCACAAAAGAATACCCCATACGCCTTGTGCTTGCCCGTCGCTACACTTGAGCAGCTCCTCCAGTGCTTACCCAGAACTGGAGGAACGTTTTCTGGAAACAGCGAAGATCCCCAAAGCATTGTGCCATCTCCTCCAATGCAAACCACGAAGTCTACAGCGGCTCCCAAGCCGGGGGGAGCAGCCGCGCTTCTGGAAGTCGCAGAAGCCTCGTGCTGCTGCTCATCTTTCTGCTGCTGCTGTTGCCTTTCTCGCTGCTCCGCTGGCTCTTGCACTGGGGAGGAAGCCACCCACGTCTTTAGTGGCACCTTATCGTTGGTCTGAAGTGTTTCGCAACAGCAGCAGCAGCAGCCTCCCGTGCAAGCCGTAAGCAGCAGCAACCGCAACAGCAGCAGAAGAAGAAACAGAAGAGGAAGAAACAGAAGAAGAAACAGAAGAAAGTGGGAAGACAGGGCGAGAAAGGGGCAAGGGACTGCGTGAGGCACCGCAAAAAACGCAAGACAGCTGCCTCCTCCGTTGCCTTCTTCCCTCGCAGTGTTCTCCGTCCTTTGTTTGCAAGGCAAAAGAAACACCGTGAGACGCTGCGATAGTAAGGCACTTACGGCTTGCGCGAATTCTTCAGCAGCTGGCGGCTCTACAACAACGAGTAGGCCAAGGGAGAAGCTGAGATACCTGCACGAACGCACAAAATGCATGCGCATCCCACAAAGACGCTAGGAAATTAAAGAGACAGAGATCTCTTGTAGAGTGTGGAAAGCCGTGTGTATCCGGCACGAGAGTGTCGAACAGACAGAAGACAGTCGCAGGAGAAAGCCGTTCGTGTCGTGATTCAACCCCCCTTCGCCTCTCGCCTAAAGGCCCCTCCAATCAGGCAGTTCCCAAGAAACATAGTTGACACCAATAGGGCTTGCTGCATGCGTCTTGGTGGCTAACCTCGCGAGTTGCGCAGCGGCGCGTGTCACTCTGGGACTGTTTATTCTCTTGAGCAGTAAAACTGTCTTGGCTCCTCCACGGAAAAAGCACCGGAGATCGACATAGTTCTCACGCGGTACCCAGTCAGCCCTGAAGCGCATGCAGGCAAAAAACGATCCCTTTAAGATGCTGAAAAAAACACTTCCTCCCTAGAGCTTCATGTCGAGGGGGTTGTTCAACCCCAAGCACGCGGTGTATCCATTCCTAAAGGGCCGAACACGCCGTACTCCAATAGGGAACCCTCCTCAAAACTCCCTCAAACAATTGGAGGTGAAAACATCACTTACTCGGATACGCAAAACGACTTTGTACGGTGAGGCAGCACCGCATGCGTGCTGCCTTCTTCTCTCCCGTGAGAAGGCCTTTGCAACTGACGCTGCGTTTGTGTGTTGCTACTGCTGCTACTGTTATTGCTGCTGCTGCTGCTATTGCTGCTGCTGCAATTGCTGCTGCCTCCCGTTTGCTGCTCTAGCGGCGGGCAGCTGAGGTGCTGCTGATTCTCCATCCTGAATTCGTAAGACCTGCTGCCACAGGCACTTCCATCAGACATGCCAGATAGCGAAAAGGCTTGCTGGAGGTTTGGAAACTGCGCATGTACAGTTCGCAGGAGTGAGTGTCGCGCGTAAACAAATGTAGCTGCCGATTATTAGGAACGTGCAGCCCGTGAGGCAGAGCCAGCCGAACGGACTCCAGCTGTCTGTACACTGCACGCGCTGTTAAGCTGCCGTTCTTATATATCTCTCTCTCTCGGTGTGGTTCTGGCCTTCGAGCCTACTGTTGCTTCCATTGGACTGCCGGTGCTTCAGCTGGTTCCCCTTCCCCCCCTTTCCCCCCTGCTGTATCGCTGGGAGCAAGGCACAGGAACGAAAGGAGGCAATTGTCTCTCGGAAAGAACCGTGAGGGGCCACGTTTGCAGCTGCACGGCACAGAGGGAAACGCCACGCTGTGCATATGGGAGATTACATGCGCGACATCGATGTTTTCGGCCTTTTTTTGTTGGCGGGGAAACAATACGCAAGAGATGTCGTCGAAAAAACCGTCGTGGGGGCAGGCATATACACCCGAAGTGACCCCAAAGGCTTTGAACTCGGGAGCCAGAAGTTTTAACACTAGAATTCAGGGTTCGACGTGGAGCTGTTAGCGCGGAGGGTGTGCACATATATAGACATACGCATATTGAACCGTGTGTGCGTGTGTGGCGCGAGTCGGCCAGACATGATGCTCGTACTGTCACAGCAGCTGCTGAACAGAAGAAGATCTGGGGTCAATCGTCTGAAGGCTGTTTTAAAAAAAGAAGCCAACGCCCCCCGCAGTTTCCCATGAATCTGCCGATGCTGCTGCTGTTGCTGCTGCTGCTGCTGCTACAGTCCCGAGGAGACGCCACGGCTGCGCGAAGATGCAGACAACGCCCCTTCTAAATTGGCCTCCTTCTCTGTAAATCCATTATTTAATGCGTTTTGCTGCCTGATCTATGGAAACGGGGGAGTTTGAGGCCGACGAACGGCTCCCCTTTGCAGCAACCCGCGTGGCATTGAAACTCCCTGCTCCCCGGACCGCAAAGCGTCTTCTGTGCGTGAACAAGCTCTTTCGTGCTCACAGTAACCCAGAAGCTTCAGAAAAATGCGCGTGTAGCAGGCATCTCGGTAAGACATCTGGTTGTTTCAAGGAACCGGCTCGCCTGACACTCCGTCCAGCGCGGAGGACGGCCCTTGTTCATGAGTATCGCGCGGCGGCATTGCAGAAAAAAAAAGGAAAAGCTCCTTCTTCCCGACCGATCACTCCCGAGGAATCCGCTGGCTTCAAGGCGAATTGACTGCACACTTCATGACGCCGCGGTCGGGTAGAAGATTGCCCCTTCTGCCTCCTGCGCGCATCGGGAGGGGGGGCGGGGGAAGGTCTTCTTCAAATGGTGTGAGGTGTCTCTACAAAAAGGTGACTTGAGGTGTCTCTGCAAACAAGTGCTTTGAGGTGATGTCTCAACAAGGGAAGTCATCTCTTGGCGAACCTGCACGGAAATGGTCAAACAGGGAAAAAACGGAAGCGCCGGCCGGGTGTCTGCTGAGCTCACGAGACACTGTATGCATACAGCTCCGAAAGAGCTTCGGGTGTCGGTGCAAATCACGCGCACGTTCCGCGGACTGCGCACGCTCGACGATAGTAGGCGCTCGACAGAGAGCGCATGAGAACATCAGACACTGAGCAGTAGGCGAACGAAAGCTCCGACAGGCGAGTCTATTACAGTAGCTTTCCGGTCAGAGTCGGAGGAAATTCGCTCGAAGACTGCCTGACATGGATAAGAATGCGAGGGAAACCTACAGCTTGCTTCAACGTGCGGCTCCATTCTGAACGCCGCACGCCGTAGGGGGAGAGGCACTGAAATATGGATGCAACACACGCTCAGGAGAAAGCTTCTGAGGCTTTTCAAAACATTTCCTGCCTTTCTCGGCCCATGCACCTCACAGTTCAGAACACGAGGGGGAAACAAGAGGGACTGCCAGAGTGCGCGTTGCAGCACCGTCTACGCATTTTGAACTTTCAATGCTAGTTGAATGTAGCCTTTAGCGCACATGCGCGCTCAAAACAGTACCTCTGCTTGTCTCGAACTCGCAGTAAGCATCGGCAAGAAAGTAGATACCCCAACACACGAGGGCACTGGCCAATTCCTTGCGAATTCCTAGTGCCCCCGGAAAAGCGCAAAGCAAGAGTGCACTCTAGTCCGCTATATATACATATATAGCCTATCTGTCCGAAGTATCATTGTACTTATAAACGACCCGACTACGGTGGGAAGTTGTTCGGAAGTGAGCGCTCCGAATCGCAAGTGCAGGCCGCTGGCTGGCTGGCGCAGTCAACCGGTGCTATTTTCAAGGGGGCTCTGAAGCCAGCCCATAGAGCCTGCGATTTAGAGTGAGCGTCTACGATAAAATAGGAAGGCCTACTCCCCCTAAAGACAGAGAGGAACAAATGAAGTATTCTTGGACTGTGGACCTCAAACCCCAACTCGTAGCTCTAAGCCGTCGCGTGTGGCCTTTGCTGAGCACTGCGGAGTCTTGACACTCCCTTTTGCAAAATGCAATCCCACGACCCCCTCTCACCCTACAGAAGACTGCAGGTGCTCTTCTTTCCTCTCCACCCGGCAAAGAACGAACAGAAACAAGGGCCTACCAGCCGCTCTGGCCTTGCACGAAGCCAAGAAGGCCTAGCGCTTTTGACGCTGCATTTCCCAGGGGTAGCGAAGAGACACCCCATTGTTCTGCCCGTCACTCTAAGCATCTAATGCACGGCTAAGATTTCGAACTCGTTTCGGAGGGAGCGCCCCCATCAGAAGACCCCTCTGGTGCAGCGGGATGCAACATAAGGTGCTCTACTAGCGGAGTGTATGGGGAACACACCCAGGCAACCAGTGCTGCTGCGTCATCCTTCTTACCCCCCTTAAAATCAAATCCACACCTGCAACAAAGGCAGAAACGTGGACACTTGCTGCGATGCATGAGCAGTCGTCATGCATCCCCACCCCCCTCCCCTGACCCCCTCTGCATTGGAAAGTGCTTGCGGTGTGTCGCCCCCTACTGCCGCTTCCGCTCCTACTCCTACTACCTCGAGTGCTGTCTGACCTGCGAGCCTCTCTAGCGAAAGGAGTCCTTGCGTTCGTCTCAATACTTCGCTCAAACGCCAAGCGGCAGAGGCGGGATGCCAACAACTGCAGATGAGACCGTAGTGGACACATACACATACATCCATACAGTACATACATATGTATACATACATGCATATACATACATACACACACTACATACATCTATACATACATAGAGTACATACATCTGTACATACGCATACATAGATATACATCCATATACATACACTACATATATATACATACATAAACATACATGCAGTACATACATATGTACATACACACAGTACATACATGCAGTACATACATGCAGTACATACATCTGTACATACGCATACATAGATATACATCCATATACATACACTACATATATATACATACATATACATACACACAGTACATACATACATATACATAGAGTACATACATATATATATACATAGAGTACATACACATACATACATACACATACACATACATACATACACTACATATACATACATACACTACATGTATATACATACATACACTACATATATATATACATACACACAGTACATACACATACATACACAAACACACCGCATTAGCTACTGTTTCCATCTCCATTGCATTTATGGGTGCCCTCTTCGGGAAGCCAGTGGGAAACATCAGACTTTTTTCCGCAGCAGCGGCCACGCAGAGGAGCCAGTGAATAGCAGATATAGAAAGGAGTTAATGAGCAGAAGCATACATGCGGGCAAGTTGGTCTTGTCGCCCCCGAAGACGGAGTTGAAGATGAAGATTCTTTGAAAGTCGGGCTGCTGCGGCTAGTCGGGCTTTCGGTAGGCAGTATTGGAGTGCAACAGCAGCAAGCATGATGCCGTTCTTCCTCTTCTGCTGCGAGTTCTTCTGGATGGCAACGCACTGCGCCCGAGTCTGCCTGTTGCTGCTGTTGCTGCTGGTGTTTTTGCTTCCCTGGGCATTGCTGCAGCAGCTGCTGCTGCAGCTGAGCGAGCTGCAGCTGTAGCAGCTGCTGCTGCTGCTTCATGGCATCGAGAGGCGAGACTGCATCCTTCATAGCACTGCAAATCTCGTAGTCTTGCAGGTTATCGAAAATCCCTGGAACGCGCAAACACACCCACCACAGAAAGAGATGCATGCATTTGCATTTGCATGCATGCAAGGGGGCAGGCACCTTCCAGCGTCCCCGCCAACTTTCCCTGCTCTCAAGCCGACAGGGTAGCTAGCTACAGCAGCTAGCTACGGTAGCTAGCTGCTGTAGCTAGCTACCCTGTCGGCTTGAGAGCAGGGAAAGCCCCTCCTATCCTCCTCTGCCCTTCTCCCGCACCCTCCCTTCCAGAAAACGCTGAAAAAGAAGCCTCAACGAAGGCTGCATGCACCACAAGTGCAGCACCTGCGTCCCCATGGAGACTGTGAGTGAGGCTGATGGGGAGACTTTCGCGTTGCGGCTCAAGGGAGCGTCCAAGCCTTTGCCGCTGCTGCTCCAACGACACCAAGACTTGCATAAACGTGTGTCTTCGAGAGCAGAACAAGCCCCATGAGCACGCAAGCCACAAGAAACGCTTCCCAGTCCAAGAGGCTGCTTACCGTCAGTGCCCGCAATGATGAGGTCGCCTTCCTCCACAGGAATGGAGTAGAGCTGCGCCTCATCTGGAGAGTCGTGGCACAGACAGCTCCTGTCTCGCAGAAGTGCTTTGACTTGTTCTAGAGTCTGATGTCGAGCTGAAGAGATTATTCGCCCCTGAGTAGTCCAGTCGGGCACTCCTCCGCCGTCTGTACGCAGCACCCACTCCGACCCTGGAGCTGCCGTTGCTGCTGCAGCAGCGGCGGCTGTCGCTGCTGCTGCTGTTGCTGCTACTGCAGGAGATGTGCCATCCACGATCCAGGGGATGCCTGCGCTTCGAGCATCCCCCGAGACACCTGTTGCTGCTCTCGTTGCTGCTCTTGTTGCTGCTCTTGCTGCTGCTCTTGCTGCTGCTCTTGCTGCTGCTCTTGCTAAAGCCTCATCTGATTTCTGCACAGCTTCTGAGGAAGTCGTCGGCTCCCTGCCAAGCGCAGCAGCATCATCTGCTGCAGCTGCTGCAACTCTGCTGCCCTTGAGCTTTCGCTGGCCTTTCAGAGCCTGGAAGCACTGGCTACTGCATGCCATTAGTTGGTGTCGGTTGATGTCGGAAAAACAGCCGCCCCCACCACTCGTGCCGCTCATGCCGCTGCTGTCGCTGCTAATGCTGTCGCCGCCAATGCTGTCGCCGCTAATGCTGCTCGTTCTGCTGCTCGCTCTGCCGTTTTTCTTGGAAAGTCTGAGTGGGTGCTCTGCAATGGTGTCTATTCTGTTTAAAGACCCCAACCCGTCTGATTTCCATGCGAACTCCGTGTAGCACCGCAACTGCGCTGCTGCAGCTTGCGCCGCTGCTGCTGCCTCGACTGCTGCAGCTTGCGCTGCTGCTGCTGCTTGGGCTGCGACTGCTGCTGCCTGAGAGGCTGCAGCTGGAGGCGCTGGCGCATCTCTCGGCAGTCGCTGCGCATCCTCTGCTCCGTCCCCTGCTACAGCTGCGGCATCTGCTGCTGCAGCCCCTGCCTCCGTGGCTGCTGTTAATGCGGGGGAGGTGTCAGTGTCAGCAGCCGCGATCAGAGACTGTATCGTCAGCTGCAGCAGCGGCTCGTCGGGTAGATGAGACAGCTGAAACGGGCAGTTGAAATAGTGCTGCTGCGTCTGAGATCTCCGAATCACGACGAACTGCTTCTGGCACGCGATGCGCCTGCGCAGAAAGCCACAAACAAAAAGATCGATCACTAGGAGGGCAACAAGCGCAGCAAGCAGCAGCAAGCAGCAAGCAACAAACAGCAAGCAACAAGCAACAAACAGCAAGCAACAAACAGCAAGCAACAAACAACAAGCAACAAACAGCAAGCAGCATCTTTTCATGGCGGAGCGAAGAGAGAGGCTTCTTGTCTCTTCCCGTAGAAATTATGTACACACACACGTCTAGAGGGTAAAATGCAGCTGCGCGCAAGCAGAGCCGAGATGGGCGTGTGTCTGTATCCGTAGAACCGCGGCAAAACGCCTAATAGCACGCGTAGTAAATGGCATGATTGAGGCATGAGAAGACAGCTGCCAGCCAGTCTCTCTCACCACTGGGAGGCAGCATGGCCATACCTGAGGACTAAAAGCGAGCAGTCTCCGACGTTCGCAACTCCCAGCTCGTGAGCTCGTGAATCCAGATATAGAAGCAACGCCGTACTGGCTCCATACGCCTTCGTCTTGCTGTATGCTTGCTTCAAGAGATACCTGGCAATGTCTGCTGCTCCCCCATAGGGAAGGCTACACTCACTGCTGGTGCTACAGCTGCTGCTGAAGGCGCCTCCTGTGGCAGCTCCTTCAGCCAAAAAGGCTGCTGCAAGTGAGTCTCCCGTCGCAGCCAAAGAGGATCCTTCCGCGATAGTTCTCCACTGCCGATGGCCTCTCTTGTTGAGGCTTCTCTCTTGCTGCCGACACGACTGCTCCCCCAGCTGCTGCTGCTGCTCTTGCACCCGTTGCTGTCTGATCTTCCTCGACAACGCTATGGAAAGCCGAGCAGATCGAGCCATCAGCTCAGCGGCAAAGCGGTGGGCGCTCACCCCGAAGTCTCCCCAGCTACCCACGCCATCCGCAATGCCGCAAAAACTCGAAAGACACAGAGGAGGAGCAGGACCAACAACCTTTTCGGAGGATCTAGGCAGCAGCAACAACTGTTGCTGCTGCTCTGTCTGCTGCTGCTCTGTCTGCTGCTGCTCTGTCTGCTGCTGCTCTGTCTGCTGCTGCTCTGTCTGCTGCTGCTCTGTCTGCTTCTTTAAGGCCTCTTTTCCTACTGCAGGCAACATCTTCACGTGGGTGCTCGAGGAAGGCCCCTCACGAGAAGACGCAAGCGAATACGGCTGCTGTTTTTGCTGTTGCTGCTGCCGCTCTTCTTCTTGTTTTTTCCGTTGCTGCTGCTGCTCTTCCTCTTGCTTTTTCTGTTGCTGCTGCTCCTGCTCTTCCTCTTGCTCTTGGTGCCGCTGCTCCTGCTCTTCCTCTTGTTTTGGCTGTTTTTGCTGTTTTGGGTGTTTTCGCAGCTTCTGCTGCTTCTGCTGTTTTTGTTGTTTTTGCTGCTGCTTCTGCTGAGCGCTGCTGCTGGAGTCTGGTAGAAACAAATGCTCACCCCTACGGTCGCTCTGCTGCTGCTGCTGCTGCTGCTGCGCTTCGAGTTTGCGAATCAGATCCTCGGCAAGGAGCTGCTGCTGCTGAGGCTGCATGGACGCAGAAAAGACGAAGCCAAGTGCCCCCGTACTGCCACGTTGTCGCTGCTGCTGCAGCTGCCGCTGCTGCCTTCTCTGCAGCTGCCGCTGCTGGCGCAGCTGCTTCGGCAGCTGAAAGTCTGTGCAGCAGGATATAAAGAGGCTGTCGCTGCTCTCAAGTGCCCCCGCGCAAGGAGTGCTGCAGCCTCCAGCCCACAAAGCCAACGGCCCCTCTGCTGCATCCTGCTGCAACAGCTGCTGCTGCTGACTCTTCCCCTTTGCATGCGCTACCCACCCCAGGCGCCGCAGCAACCCCCGTGCCTGCACGGGAATCTTCAGTCTGTCTAGAGGGTGGCTGCGCGATCTGCGTCGCAGGGAAGCCAGGGATCCCTTGATGAAGAACTGGGCAGGCTGTCTTGGCAGTCCTTCTGCGCTCCCCCCCCCACTGAGGGGGTACGTGGGAGTGCTGCCTGACTGTAGCAGGGGAGAGGCGGCAGCGGCAGCTGCGACCACTGGATTCGAGTGCGATCTGCGCGACAACAGGGGCCCCCTGGGGAGCAGTCGCCAGCGACGCCCCCACCGGGGGGCCCCCCCCGGGGGGCCCCCCAAGGGGGCCCTTTCCCCGAGCGCTGCCATCATTCTGCCGCGAATGCGTCCTGGGAGCACCCTGCCCCCCCCAGCTCCCCGTCCTCTCCAGGCTCCCTCTGCTGCTCGCGAAGCCGCAGGAGCCGCCCTTCCTGCCGTCGCTGCAGCCTGGCTGACGCCATGCGATGAACAGGATAAAGGGCAGTCCTCTGCGTCGCCATGCGGAGCAGACAGCTGAGGCAAGGCTCCATAGGGGGCTGAGCCAAGAGATGCCATCCGTAAGGCGTAGGCCTTCGAGCTCAATGCTGCAACGTGCAAACGGGCATTTCAAAGCTCTCGAAACTTTGCGCTTCTCGCGGGTGCGCTGGCGAAGGAGCGGCTGATCCCGCGGCAGCTGCTCCCCAGTGCGTCAGAAAAAGGAGCAACAACAACGGCACTGCGTTTGAAGAGCGTGAGGCCGCTCACCAAACCTGAATCCTCCGCGGTGGCGTTGGGTGAGCTGCCGAGCGACTCTGCTGGCTCGCCTGTTTGTGGCTTTGCGAGCAGCACCGCCTCTCCAGAAGCCGCAGACCCCACACTCCTCGGTATAGAATCTTCTTCCTAGCCTCTGAATCCGTACAAACAGCTGGAAAGGCAGCAATGGAATCTGGGGGCTGTGTGGCTGCACTGCTGCGCGCAGCACTGTTAGGCTAAGTGACCTGCTGCCGCTAGGAAGGGGTGTGGAGTGACAGGCCGCCCAATCTTCCTCTAAATAGGCTCCAGAATAAATTAAAATCAACCTTTTTTCCGTTTGTTCTTGCTTTCTCATGATTCCTGCAAAAAAAGCACGAGACACCCGCAGCAGCAAGCATGCCCGCTCTCTCGTCAAAGGGGCCTCTCTCGCCTTTGCACAGTGCTTCCACTGCAACTGTAGATGCTAACGATCCTGTCCCTGCATGCGGCCTCGCATGGCCAACCACACGTGATTCATATGCGGGGGTACCAGTTGATGCCTCTAAGAGATCCCCGACAACTCATGCATGCATGGGAAGCAGCGCCCTATGCTTCCCGAGAAGACTCGCAGGTGTCTGTACGCAGCCAGAACTGCATCACACACTCTTTAGTATGCCAAGTGCTTCTGCTAGTCACTAGGAAGCTCTTCGGACTTCAAGGGCCGGCGGGTGCTCCTTGCCCTTTGCACTGTACACCAGTCTAGGGCTCTAAGAGCAGTTTAGAGCATACATGTGGCTGTGCATAAATAGCCATGCTTCTAAACAACGACCAACATCGCCTCTTAGACTGCAACCTTTTTGCAGGCGGCGAATCAGGGGGCACTGGTCACTTCATTCAGGTTGGCTTGACCTGCCTGCACCCAAGGAAGCGCGGTAAAACGGATTATCCAAAGTCTTTCTAGGGGTACACTTGACTCCAGACTCAATGCACACCCTGTCAAAAATTATCGAGGGTTTCCGAAAACACTCCCGCTTTTCTTCGCCTACCCGCCTCACAGTTCCTGCTCGACCTGCGGGAAGAGGGACAAACAGGTTGCGCGTGGATTCACCTTCCTAGCACTCAGAGCTAGTTGCATAGAGCATGCAACACACATGCACACATCACTGCTCCTGATATCATGGAACTAACGGTACTGTGAAAAAAACCAAGCTTTACTGACAGAAAAGCGAGCCTTTTGCTATGAGGCAGCAGAAAACAACTACATTTTGAACAGAGAATAAAAACACAAACTGGCTTAGCAGTAGTAACGCGCCTCATAGAGCACTCTGGGTGTGCAAGTACAGTTGGTGCATAAGCATTGTCTATTTCAAAGCCCCAAAAGGGGCATAAGCTCAATTGTAGGACAACATACCATAGAGTGCCTGCGCACAAAAATAAGTGTAGAGAACACATTACAAATAACAATTGGCCACCTATTAAGCATTGCCTTCATAGAAAGTTAGGTAGTTCAGTCGGAGCACTCGCCGATGAAGGACAGTCTAACCGGAAACTCGAGGAATGCCGTCGAAAACGACTGACATTATTCAGAGTCGCAAATTCCCCCCCGACAAAGCCAAACCCGCAATCGCTTCTTCGCTGGTCACGGCGTGCTTCACCATGTTTCACTAGAAACTTCCGTCTAGTACGTTCTCGGCGCTAACTGTCCTAGGGTGTCGCACTTCCTAATCTCCAAGGCCACGCCTTGATGCTTTTTTCCGGATTTAGCGCAATCAAGTTGTGCAGTGAAAGCACAGAATGCCAACACCAAAGCTCTTCTCATGAAAAACAAATGAACGCGCGTTTTCGCTTTCCATTGCTTGTCCCACGACAACCTGGAGTGTATGCCATAGACGCCGCAAGCACTCTTGCTGGGCCGGAATCCGGGTAATCGTTCACCTAGACAAACGTTCACAACTGCTTGATGCGTTCATTGAAACAGAGGGGCATGACAAGTCCAAACAGCACACAGGAATAGTTGCATTTAAGAGTGGGTAAGTAGAAATCGGCTTTGCGCGTGTCCCTGCGAACACCACTAGCTGCTCCTTCCTAGCGCCTCCTGACGCACTAACATCAACAGCAAGCAGCCATGGGAGTATCGGTACCTTTCATCACGCCACGCATGCCATCCCTAGGATCAAGTCACAATGCACAGCACCAACATAGAATTCACGCATCATGCTGCAAGCACCATATTCCGATTCGAAGTAACATTTAGCTGCTGTAGCCTGGCCGGCCCTTGCGTTCTGCAGCCCGTCGGCATCCCTGAGTCTTAGAAACTCCACTAACGGGTGAAGAGGCAGATGGCACTTCTGCACCAATTTCTTTAATAGCAGCAGGCCTACTTCACTTTCGAATGTCTAGTGACGCTAGCAACTCTTGACTGACAAGGCGAGCTTCATCGTAGCAGAAATTATCCGTGGTAGGTCCCTAGCTGCGGCTCCATCCTCTGTAGCACCCTTCCTGCGCCGTAGCCTCTAGGAGGCTTTTCGCTTCCTTGCTGCTCCTTTCCCACCCAGCAGTCTGAGTCCGTGACGCTCAGTCCCGTTGCTCATACTCCTTGGCGCTTCGCAGTGTACCAGCAGTCGAACCCCTGCGCCGCGTTTTAAAGCCGCGTGGGAAAACAAGACCAGCTCCTCCAAAAGAAGTAGCTGCATTGCTAGGAGTTGGCTTAAGTTGCCTCAAGCGCGGCCTCCCTTTGGTTGTCTAGGCCGTCCAACTTGCACCGCAGACAAGGGCAATTTTACACAGGCCCGATATCCATTGCTACTACATTTGATTTGGTACTTCCTTTCAAGTTTAAGGCGCGAGAACTGCGCTCAACTGCCTTAAAACCTCAACTAGTTCATCACTGGTGAAGGTCCCACCAGTCGGCTGTGCATCGCCGAGTTGCCGTCCGCCTTGAGACCATCTGATGTGACCCTTTGAATAGGCCTAAGAGAATCCGAGGATAAACCATGTGTTCGCCGATGTTTTGACTTCGACAAAGGTTTCTACTTGAGCCTTCTCAGTTCCCCTGAAGCTTGCTGTTGAGCTTCTCTCTGGGTCATGCGAGGAGTCAGGGCATGCTTGAATTCTTGGATTGTAGTAGCTTGTGCAGGCAGACTGCTTCATCTCCATCACTACAACGACCGTCGACGCGCTTCTCCCTCCACTAAGCACGCCACCAAAAGCGCGCGTTTTTCTTTTCCTGGGGGATACAAAGCAGGGTGTATCTTCAGCCGACAATCGAATTTTCGAGTACTGCCTCATCCCTAAGGCCGTCATACTTTTCTAGTTGGCAATGCCTCGTCGAAGCATCCCTTCGCATTCTGTATCAGCATACAAGGCGTGCTTTCCTACGGCGGTGGAAACACTGCACTTACATAAGCTTAGATGCCTGCCTCTGCTGCCCCAAGAAGCGTCTTGCCACTGTCTCATTCCATCGCCAGAGGGTACCCAATTACTATTGTGGTGCTTAGCTACCAAATACCTTATTGCAACCAAATAGCCCTTGCAGGGAATCCTGGAGATCCACTGCACCCACAATGAGTGGATGCGTGGAGAACAGCAGCATTGAACAACATGGTACTACCCACTATGACGCTGTATCTTAGGTCTGCATATAGGGACACTTGTAGTCAGATTTAATGCACACTCATAAGAAAGTGACCGAGTGCATTTAAAAGGAAATCTCGGCTTTTCTTCTCCCCCTCATTTGAATTTTCCCGTCTTGAGTGGGGAGAACCAGCTAGGGTACGCTTCTCTGCTCCCCTTCGGCAGTCCTGGCATCCACAGCTAGTTGCACATAGCATCCAGCAGGCGCACACACATCATTCCGTCTGATGGTACCGAGCTAACAGTACTGAGCAACAAATGGAATATACGAATGAGCAAGCCAACTGGTTAATTATATCGAATTCTTTCTTCAGATTAAGTGTAGTGGATAGTGTATGGGTTTAGCTTGGCCTGCTACACCCCAGGTGCCGGCCTCATTCCAAGTCGGGGGCCTCAGGGCGCTCGCTAGCTTAAGGATGGATCTCTATTGCGAAAACACTCACTAACTTTTTCATGCTTGTACTGGGGCTGTAGTGCCTTCCCTACGGAGACTTGAATGGATGCTTTCATACTGCTCTACGTACTACTTCATTTTGGCTTTGTGCAAAAGCTTCCATTGAAACCGCGCCGCACCAGTACAAAGCACAAGATGAAAGTTCTTCGACTGGCCCTGCATACACGGTGTTGCCGTTTTAGTGGATGCAGCTGTGCTGGACTGCAGTGCCCATTGTGTTGTCTCGCAAGCTACAATTTAGGGCCTAGTATTCTGTAGAGCATAGAGTCGTAATTCGTCTGTGGAGGATGGATGTGCAACTTGCTTTGCCGTAGGATTCAGTGGGTGGCAGCGTTGCGCTTTACGCATGTGGACACCGAGCACATCCAACGAGTCAGCGGCGAAAGTCATATCAGCAACTGAGGCAGCAGCAGCAGCAGAGTGCGTCTTCCATCTCCAGGATCTCTTGTTTGTAAGCAAATATGAAATGAGCAATTACATGGGAAAGCAAGCGCAGAGCTGCTCGTCGGTTGGCTCTCTGTTGTCTGTGGCACTGTGTTTCGCGCCGCCTGTGCAACAATCGGCACTTGAGGATCGGTGATTACGGTTTGCTGAGATATACATATATGGAGGTGAATAGAATAAACAAGAAACACTATAGAAAACTAAAAGTCACTATCCAGGTTATATACAACTGAGCAGCAGGCCTCGACCGATCCGCGACAGTAGCCGGGTGTATACATACACCCCAGATTTTCCGGCGCCGCTTTTGTTGCTG